TATGGTCTAGATGGATGTTGGAGGTGAGGAGGGGGGAGGTTAGAGATTATAGTTAAGAGATGGTCCAGCTGGATGCTGGAGGTGAGGTAAGATATAAGTGATAAAACATTGGATAATAGAAAATATCAGGATCCTTATACTCGTACATTAAGACATATCCATGTTCCTATGAACTTCCGTGCAGCTGAGGTCATGCCCACTTATTTTGTTTTCATAATGTCTTGTTGGTTTGATAAAAAGTGTATTTTTCGTGACGTTTAACCTAATTAAGTTCCTAGGTGGATTTGTGTTAACTAGAACGGCATATTTTATTTTACATAATTATTATTTTAAGATTATATTAAGTGTATTATATATGTTATAAAGTTTTAATAAAAGAAACATTAGTGGCATGTCTTGTAGTCTTAATATAGCGTTCAGGAAATTACTAATATATGCGGATTTCATTCAAAAAAGATTGCACCATCCTGATTGGATTTTCGCCTATCTCATTTTGAATTTTTTCGACCAAACTTAAGCCTACTGTGAAAACGTCGCCTAAGGACTCGGCACTATCGGTCACTGCCACTTTGATATTTTTGGGTAAATTATATTCAGCAGTAATCATATCAATCGACCAAACAATTTTTTTGTTAAGCTGTGCCTTACATTTTTCAACATCTTTGTAATGTATTGCAAATTTGTTGTGGATATTTCTGAAATGCACGTCGTCTGTCAATACCATTAAGCGTTGAAACGTGTCAATGATTTCAACGTTGAACCTATTGAGGTCTGCTAAAAAGTTGTCGGTTTCGCCGAGTCGATTCGTATACGACAATGTTATTTGCAACATTATTATTTTCAACATGTCGATCACCCAATTCTGGTAGCTTCCATAGAGTAAATCGATTCCTGTCAAATTGTTTTCAGAATCCAATCCCGGAAACTGTACTTCCAGACGGTCCGAATCGGTGGCCAAGAATTTGTTAAAAAACAAATCAAATGCATTGTTATCGTGAAACAGCCACAAGGAGCCGGACGCCGAGGACAGCGATAGTCGGTCAGTTCGGTTTTTGATGAGTATTATATGCAGTAATTGTTTGTTCCTTCGTATTGCGTTCATCACACTTTCGTTGGTTTCACTGAACGATTTAGCCGTTGTGTTTTGGAATGAAAAATCGTTTTCTTTTTGCTGCCCCGGTGGGTCGTCTGCCAATGGCCAGTGTAAGCATTTTTCGAATTCCACATTGAAACAATTGTCGGGCGCACACCCGTTGTGGTCGATGCGTTTGTTTATTATCAATTCCATGTCACCGTCCCGTTCTAATTTTTCGTTAATATATGTAGCATTCCCCGCCCATTTACCGCTTTTGACAAAAATATACCACAAGAACGTGCGCATCTCAAGGGTGAACATGAAAAGTGACCAGAAGTCGTTTAACCGGTCGGGTTTCAGATCCAACAACGAATCGATCATCAGGATCGCTTCTTTCTCGAACTCAAAATCCTCGATCGTCTCTGACGCGACAGCCTTATTGGCGTTCATTAAAATCAAGTCTCTGGTCAATTTAAAATGCAACTGAACGCTGTAAAGGTATCCGCATTCCCGTCGGTTGTTTAATTTGTCTATTTTTCTTTGCAGATCTCCCAGGGACCAGTTGTTCAAACTCTGACGATCGTATAGATTTTCTTGAATAACCGGGTAACCGGTAGCCAAACCCTGTATACTTAACAATGTCTTTGCCGACTTTTCGAATTCTTCCGTCTCGTCACCGTAAGACCGATAGAGAAATTCGGTTATAAAATAAAAAAAGAACATTACATACCGCGATTTCAGTACGGCCATTTTTGTCATCTCCTTCAAAAGCTTAATCTGAAAATAAATAAAATACATCAATACAAATTATTAGTACCTAACTACCATCTAAAAAAAAAACGATTGCGTAGATTTTACTTACTGGAACTTGTAGATTTGGCTTTCGGTGTACTTGTGAGACGTGTCGACATTGTTTTTAGTAAAGTAACAATTGTTGTTGTTCACATAAAGTTTTTATTTACACAAAAAGTCATGCGGTGCGCTTACAAATATGATTGACACGTTTTTGATACTTGATTGTTTACAGAGTGTTCGGTTAGTATGGACTTGCTGTGTGTATGTCATAATATACAACATACATAAAAGTTAAAATGGAAAATCGTTCTTCTTGACTAATTCTTTGCGGAACTACAGAAGGCAGGAAATTACAAACGACATGTCGAAAGAATTACAGGATGACCCAAACTCCGAAGATTAATCGGCTTTCATATAAACACGAACAAGTTGTATTATTAGTTATCGAAACTAATTTCAAATTAATAAAATGTACCCAAATTGTCTATCTGTATAAGTTTATATATATTGTATTAATAGTACTGTCGTACAATCAATGAAAAATATAATTGATATGAAACTGACATTATCGATTACTTTATAGGTCCAAGTAAGATCCTCATTTTCATTAATTAGGCACATAAATAATTATTAATTTTTATATCATACGATTTAACTAGTGTTTATAATGCATTTTTTATGCCAACATAAATGTTTATCAATATAACTGACCGTTATTTTTTTAGCTTCTATGCACAGCTGAGAAGGTATTTTACTTATAACGATTTTCAGTTTTATATATATTATATATTTTTGTCATTTCAAAATGTCGTTACATTTTTTGGGCATTTCAAATCGCATGTGGTGTTAGACCAACAGGCAAGTCGTCACGCTTGTTGGGACGTTCAATCTAATATTAACTACTTATTCTGACTAACATTGGTCATAGTCATACGAGTTAATCGTTAGTATTTGTTTTATTTTTTTTTTATAACAACTGCATTACTCAATAGTTAACACAATCTCTAATAGAACTATTATATTGGCAGCACCTCGTCAGTAACACTACTTTGCTGACCCCTATAACTTTTAAGCCGTAACGGTTTGTAGTGCAGGCAACGTTTAAGTATTTGCAAGCGGACGTTCAGGTTTAGTTTGGTGGAGTGGATGTGATGAGCCTAAGTGAATTTTTGGTCGAAGTGAACTCTTACGTTGTTTAGTGTTACATGTGGGCAGCGATACCTTGCTGGAGTGTGAAGTTTGTATGACAGGACTTGGATTCATTTATTTATTTTTATCTTCCAGCCAGGGTTGTACATAATTTAAGTGGGACTGTAGATGATACGATATGCTAATTGAAGATTTTCATGAACCGAGAAAATTGTTTTGTACTCTATGACGGTAGTAACTTTTATAAAGTTGTATTATAGAATTTGGAGAGAAGAAAATGTAAATTTCTACGAGAAGTTTGTTACTCGTGTGTCTACCTTCTGTAGACAAAGGCGATCCGGCTTTCTTAACACACTGTTAGAGTGTGTGTCTGAACTTATGCAGAATTTGTGTTTAAATTCTATCTCATGGCGAAAAACCGGGCGATGTAACACACTTAATTAATTTTGCTCATATGCTTTCAGAGCTACACTAGACAGGGTGCTGTACACTTTGTTCAATCCGGTGTTCTTCTCATCGTTGTCGCCAGAGTAGATCACTGTAGGAATGTCCGAATTCAACCGGTTTTCCACTGGTAGTGGTATTGGCCAACACGTTGTCTTCATTATAATCCAACAAACGACCAGCAATACAACAGCAGACGAGTACAACATTGTAGGTAATTAGTTATAAAAAGCTGAAACGCTTCATACAGGTTAATAACAGAAATGATAATAGTTATAAGCCGTTTAAACACGTTAAAACCCTATCAACAGTATTGACCAGCATAAATAATATGTTTTTAATATAACATATGTGCTACAATACTATGTTAGTACATGATAGCTCATAGGACAGTTTTAGCAGAGGATGTACACACTCATTTGGAAGTGGGTGCATATATATTTAACAGAGTAGAAGAGTTCAAGTGTTCAGGTACACTTACAACTTAGAATGATGAAATACAAGAGGAAATAAAAGCAAGAATACAAGCAGGCAATAGATGCTATTTTTCATTGGCCAAGACGTTTAAGTCAAAAATGCTGTCTAAGAGATTTAAGGTGCATGTGTATAGTACGCTTATAATCTAACCTAACCCACCAAGCAAATAATTTCCAACAGGTAACTGTAATATTCTACAAATTATTTTTACTTATTTATCACTCTTCACTTCTTTCCCTATTTAATATATACTGATTGATCTTTAGACATTTCATTCATGTTTTGTACTCTTGAGCTCCTAAGTAACCGTCACAGGATACACAAACACATCATTCTTCTACATTGTACCTTTGATGGTTAAATTTTAAACGTGCAGTACATCATTACCGGATGCTGGAATAGACTGTTAAGGATTTTAATTTAACCAATACCTAGACATACGATATACAACGTTTGAACACATTTTTTTTCACATAGGTATACCACAATAAACATATTTCAGCCAAATGACCTCTAAACATTTTTATCTGTTTTCGTTCACTTGATAATAAGACAATTTTTTTAAGACACTTGATATTTAACAATCTAACTTGTAGATTATTGTTTTTTGAAAACAGAAATTTAGGCGACTGACCTCTGAACATTTTTATCTGTTTTCAGCCACTTGATAAACAATTATCTCATTACTTACTCCCAAACTATTTGTTAGTCTCAAGCTACAATAATTACTTGTATTACAGTAATCACAATGCATCTGTTGTAGCTTATAGTGAGGACTTTATAATATTATCGAAGCATATAGATTGTAATAAGCCCATTGGCTTATTCTTATTATTATTATTACTATATTATATATTATACTATGTTATATGTAGCATGACGTAATCTAGGATATCGGACATACCAGTTCACCAGTTCACCTTTAACTTAATATGTATTTTCCTTAATTATGTTATTTTACTTTTACTTTTTACTGCACAGTTACACAAGTTACCCTTGTGTAATTTCTTAGTTCATATGTTGTTTGTTACTTTCACTAATTTGCATATCACTATAAAACACTGACAAATCGTATGTACATTTGTCAGTCGTCAAGTGAACATTAATACGATACGTCTGTCTATACAGTTTGTTATATTAAAAGTGCTTATAATTAAAACAGTTTAACTTTAAAAGTGTTTTATTATTTCTTTCTATCATTACTGGATCACATATGTTTATGCCCTAACCGGCGTACTACAAGATTGACAACAAACAAATTGCTTTATTTTGTATATTTAGTATAATTTTTTGTAATTAAAAAAATAAAATATGAATTCGACGACTAGAAATTTTGGTAGTTTTGAGTTTGACAAAAATGGCGTTCGTTTTAAATATCGAATACAAACTGCGACCGGTGATCATTTTGACGAAATCTTCGAACAACTTGGATATGATTTCCTTAAACAAGAGCGCTTGAATGCGGCAATGAGTATGTTATGCATATTTATTTTACTCACATATAGGTTTGCGAGACGCCTAAATTACATATATGTATTTTTTAGTTTCGGCGTGTGTATGAAATGATATTAAGTTCACAACAATTAGAATATACAATATACATATTATACTTACATAGTTAGTAGCATTAAACTAAATATGGCACATACATAAAAAAGTGAAAATATATAATATAAGTGTACAACTATTATTATAGTTATTTATAATGCTGTATCAAGGCTAAAAACTAAATAAATTTGATAAACGTTTACAAAAAGTGTAGTATTTAAAGTTGTTATCTGTCGTTTACATTATGGTTTACCTTTCGACGGCTATATTATAATAACAGTTAAAATATTAAGATTTTTTTTTTTAACCATATGTCATTTTATTTTGTTAGATATCATTAGTGATTTTGAAGCAGTCGAAATTCATAAGAGCGTATGGAGGGACATGGTATGTAACGGAACAACATTAATAGCTCTTGTCGAAAACGACTGTGTAGAACAAGGCAAAATAATAGGATTTAATTTTACTTATGTGGAGAAGAAAGATGAAGATTTTTCCTGGGTATGCGATATTATTGATATTATCCGTAAAATTTAGGTAAAATTTGTATGCAACTATAGTATTCTACTTTAGGCGTCGTCCAATAAAATGTGTCGGCAAATGTCAAAAGTTTTGTCTGAAGTAAGCCGACCAGGAAACATATTCGAAAAGTACAACGTCGATCGATATTTAGCAGCATTTGGCTTGATGGTCCACGTCGACTTTGCAGGCAGTGGAATTGGTTATCGACTACTCGAGTCCAGGCAAAAATTGTGTAAATGTTTGGGCTTGTCTGCAACGGGCACGGTATTCACGGGCTACATATCTCAACATTTAGCAACAAAGTTGGGATTTGAAGTCCTTTCATCGCTCGACGACGAACATATCGATTTCGGAGATATAGAATCCCATTTAGATGATACCAAAGGGAAAGATATAAAGTTCATGGCACTAAGATATACATGAGCCACTCTACACTGATATGTAAATTATTAAAATTTCAAATATTAATTAGTATGAATTTAAATAGTTTATTTAAATATATTAAAATAAAAATTATTTCAAAGAAATTCAATTTATTACGAGTAAGTAGACTTAAAATTGAGGCGCGATCAAAATATACAATACAAAACAGTATGAATTCATAATTATTTTTATATTAACAAACCTACTTAATGTTTTCAAGTATCAAATCAGATATTACTATAGCAAGTATAGTATACAGGGTGATCCAACTAACGTAAGACACTCATTTTCTCTGAAAGTATGAATATTTTGCGAATTTTTTTTTTCCTAAAATTTTAGGTACATATTTAGCTACATTTTTCAATATTTAGAAAAATTTTATCTTCAACCCTTATACGTTAAATAAGTACGAACCTCGTTTTTTCAAATGGGAACATATGTTTTAAATTCCATAAATATAAAGACAAAAAATCTAAAAAAATGTTAGCGTTTGAATTTTAATTTTTATCCATCTAGTCGTTAGCTATGACTTTGTAAAGATATTACATTTTCTCTTAAATATTGTTATATTTCTTTGGTTTTCCAAAGACCGGGAGCCAATAAAATACTTATTTATGATCGCATTGTCCGATAGATGAGTACACAGATAACCAAACACAATAAAATGTTTTGTGATATTTTGTTTGACCAGCGTTTCATATTTATAGATTACCGACTTTTCTAACACACCGTCATGACAGGTAGGTTGACAGACCTATATTGACAGCAGCTAACGAATGGCTATTTAACCACAACAATCAAAAACCGTGGTACAAGTAGGTTGATAACTGCTGCTATGATGATAATACAAAATATTATTATCATTAGTTATCATATTTTTCTACTATCTATGTTCTACATTCAACAAGTAACAGCACAGTACAACAGATCATTGTTATGCTATTTGAAAATTATAATTTTTAGTTTTTATAGGTAGTAAACAATAGCTTTAAAATTTGGCTTACAATCTCATAAGTACATACATTGAATGGACACGCGTTGCGAAGCGTTACTATTATTTGTTTAGTTATGTTCAATTTATTCAAAATATGTTCTGTGCTCAAATAATTGTTTTAAACAATTTACACTAAATAAGGAATTTTGGATTTAATTTGCTTACTATTTTAATTCTACAGTAAATATTTAAAATGTTGCTTATTTTACATTTATAACTAACTTTTTTTTATTATATAAACAACTTTATTAATAAAAAATAATGCAATAAAGTGGACTGTGTTTAAATGATTAAGTTGTCTAAAGACTAGATGTTTGTAAACAGTGTTTTAGGAACCTACAACAAAATCACAGTTAAGTTTGAAATTGTATTAATTATCAACTTAATTTAAGCCGGTAGTTCCAAACTGTGATTCAAAATACTTTTACTTTTTTTTCTGTTTTCCCCATCTTGTTGGCAAAAAAGATTTGATTTTTCTGTAACGGTAAATTTTTCAACATCATTGATATTTCATTTTTTTTTAAGTCAAGTTATTTCTTATTTAGATCCCGTTAATAAAAATATGGATCAATAGTTTGTGACTCAATTACACAAAATCACACAGTGATACTCAAACTTCAGAAATAAAGTTAGGGTTTGTGTCACGCAAACATTAAATTATCAGAACTTGTCTTTTTTATTTTATTAATAACTATTAAATTAAATAGTTTATATGGTCTTATCTTTTTATTAGTACTTACTAATTATTATTATAACTTATAAGGTGTATAATGTTATAATAATAGTGATTCTAAAGCCTTTATAATAAAATATGTCTGTTTCAAAAATTTCAAATTGAAAAGTTAATTCTTTTACAGTTGAATCTGCTTATTTTGATTTTCCGTATAATCAGTATTTTCTTATTTTTATTATTTTCTTCACTATTTAATATCTAGAAAATTAAAAGCTTAATAGATTTTAGTTGTTTAAAAAGAAAACCATTATTTGATATTTCCTTGTTTACTATACAAATTAAAGTATTGACATTATTAAACTATTATAACGGGTACGTTTTACTAAGATTATGTAAAAGTGGCAATATTAAATCAAAAATAGCCTTAGCTAAATTGTAGTATCTAAATTTAACAATTATTCTGTAATAAAACACATTTTTAAGGATTTAAATTTTATGGAATTTGTACGCGACAAGTTTGTCTGATTTTATACACATACATACATGTATACTATATTTATGTATGAATACAAATAATTATAAAATCAATTATACTAACTTATAATGCATAGTTGTTAAAAATAAAATTTGTTTACCTTTAATGATGCAAATAATGGTTAAAAGAATATTTGCTGTAATGCGTATGCGACAATTTTCCTACTTTAAAGAGTTAAAAACAATTTTTATTAATTTTTACTGTGTAGTTTACAAAATTTGAACATTGATAACACATAGTCAAACAATTGTGTTGATAAATTTCAACGACAAATATATAGTATAGTATAACATTTAAAGAACAATAATAATCTTTTGTCTGATAATATAAGTATTTAACTAATAAAATATTCATAAACTAATTATTAATACAACAATAAATTTAAAAATTACAAATGTTACTTTTTTGAAAATATTCAATCAAAAATATTAAACAAAAACAATATCTATACATTTGAAATTGTTCAACTTCTATAATACTGATTTAAATTTTTTTCTTTTAACAATCGTTGGTAATTAAACAAATCTAACAAAATCAAAATTCAATAAATAAAATTAACTATAAGAATTATCTTAGGCAAGTTCTAAAAAATAATTTACTTGATTTACTGAATTCATTAAATACAAATTAATAGAATTACTACTTTTTTAAAGAGAGAATTATTGTATATTAATAAATTTGATATAAAATTTAACTTTGATAGCCAAATACCTGTGTCAGTTATAGCTAAAACTTTATGATAAAATATCCGTAATGTATGTCAGACACACAATATATGGGTTATATCATTGTAAGAAATAACTAAACTGAAAGCAGACATTTGAACTACCTTAGATAAGTTTAATCAAATAAAAATAATATACTTACATATTATTATAAATATTGGTATAATCAAGAAGCGATTCCTTGTATGTAGTATTATGAAATTCATACATTAATTACTGATATTTTTAAAAATAAATGAAACGGGTATATGAGTATTATCAACCCACATACACAAATACATGCATAAATAATTATTTTAAGTTAACACAACACACTTTTCATTCAAATTGCTTAGTGTTGATATTATACATTCACATGAAAAAATGTCACATTAGAAATAAATGTTTTATACTTATAATTTACACCTTGATATATAATTGTAAGGTCTTGGGTCCGATTGGAAAGACATTTCCATAGCAATTGATATGTCATACTCAAAACCAATTTTACATGATAACATTGGTTTTTAAAAGATGAAATATTTTCAGTAAAAAAGCATTCAACCTAAATTAAAAAAGCTAATTGAAATCGTATTGAATTAAATTACCCATTAAACTCTAATAAACTTACCTATTAAATTAATGCTTTATATTTATAATTTACACCTTGATATAAAATTGTAAGGTCTTCAGTCTTGGGTCCAATTGAAAAGACATTTCCATAGTAATTGGTATAGCCTATTCTCAACGCCATAGATATTTCTGACATGATAACATTGATTTTTAAATGATAAAAGATTTTCGGAAAAAAGCATTCAACCTAAAATAAAAAAGCTAATTGAATTCGTATTGTATTAAATTATCTATTAAACTTTAATACACTTACCTATTAAATTAATGGTGTGTCCAAGAATGTAACGTCAAAATAAAGTCGAGAGCAAATATTATCAATTGATATATTTAAAAAATTATAAAATAACGAGTTATGACATAACTACAATAAGCATGCTATCATATTTACTATAAAGTAAAATGTAAATTTACTAACATTTTTTAATTAAGTTTGCAATTTCTCATTTCACTAATGGAAAACGTGTGAACTTCGAAGTCGAAATTTGTTGGCGATGAGGTTATGTACAAATAATAAATATAATGCGATTTTGTACAAATAATAAAATATATTATGGGTACTGGTCACTCGATTATTCCGTGGTAACTGATGCATAGTTTAGATACTAGATTGTTATCCGAGATAACCAGCTAATGACTAGCTCCAGCTAGATTAGGTTAAAGTGTAAAGTCCGTTATCCGTAACAGTCTACCTTTCGTCTAATAATGTATGGTTATTTATTATATCTGATTATGATACGGAATGCGTTAACATCAAATTATTATTATATTTGATGTGATGACCGTCGTAATAAAACTACTTGTCTTTGTCGAATCGAATGAAATTATTAAGAAATATAGACAAAAATTCAAATCTTTACAAAGTCATAAACAGCGAACAAATGGATGAAAATTAAAAATTCAAACGCTAACATTTTTTTAGATTTTTTGTCTTTATATTTATGGAATTTAAAACATATGTTCCCATTTGAAAAAACGAGGTTCGTACTTATTTAACGTATAAGGGTTGAAGATAAAATTTTTCTAAATATTGAAAAATGTAGCTAAATATGTACCTAAAATTTTAGGGAAAAAAAAATTCGCAAAATATTCATACTTTCAGAGAAAATGAGTGTCTTACGTTAGTTGGATCACCCTGTATATGGTTAGTTAGCTAAAGATGTTTGAGAAAACTACATGTTTTAATCCCACTGATGAATTACCTTAAGTCTAATTTAAAGACAATACATTTAAGCTGTGTTAGTGTACTGTAAAATATATAACAACATAAAATGGTTATTATTCACAATTTTTAGAATGTTATGATGTTGTAAAGGGTTATATAACCACAGAAGCTACAATAGTAAACTTGCTGAGATTGATTAAAATAAAAATTTTATATATTTATGTGATCCTTATCAATCTGGTAAGCCACCAAATCAATTAACTAAAAAAAAGTAAGTACTTACGAACAAGTACGACAATATCAAATTATACAACAACAATATCAAATTGTCTGTAACTCCTAACTCTTATGTGAAAAAAGCTTAGAAGCCGTTTGTATGTATAATATAATTTAAAGGATAGGTCGCCCAGTTATTAATCCAACTAGTCCTGCACTTATTGGCCTTCACACCAAAATAGAGTAAAATAATAATAATATAAAAATATTGCGCTGTGTAACCTATAGATAAGCTACACGAAGAATTTGGAAATTGACTTTCACTCACACAAAGCAACCTTCGGTCAGATTAACCATAAGACTTCATCTAAAGAACCGAAACTAAGAAAAAGATTCCACCCCTTCCTTAGGAAAGAATTGTTGATAATAAATTTTTGGTTTGTCAACGTTTATGGGTAGTACTATGTCTAAAGACTATTCCATAGAAATTTGGAACTAATTCGACTATTTTTTAATTTAAGTTACGGAGCGCCGTAGTTTAAAGTTAAAAAATATGTACATCTTTTATATGCTCTATTCCCACTGCGTTCTCACCATACTTTGATGATTTGACGATGGCTTATTTAAATTAAAATATTAGTTTTTAAGAAATGTTGGTATCGATAAAAAAAAAAATTGCATATTGACGGTGTTTTAAGGCGTTCGTTTTTGAATTTTGTTTTTTCATTATTTCATCATGATAAAAAATTGAAATATATGTGTAGATCCGCATTTGTTTTATTCAACAGGCATAAATAAGAAAATATTATAAATATAGTAATGTACACCATAAATCGTAATAAAAAAAAAATTAAACCAACTGAGTACATAAATGAACTAAGTTAACTACAAAAACCTATTCGATTCTGATTCTTTGGTAGAAATATAAGCTCATTTATAATGTGCAAGAAAAACATTTAGTATCAAAAGAACATCAAGACGACTATTTTCTAAGAAAGTTTATCAGCTCAACAATTTTAGTAAGTATTTATGGCAAACTCTAAAAATTGTAATTTCACTAAAATTAGAAAGGCATGACCTTAATGACTAAAAATTATTAAACCGTTTTCATAACACCCCAAAAATGTAGGGTTTTAGAGTCAACAAACCTAAAGTAAAAAAAAAGGATTATTAAGCAAAATGATACAGAATTTCCTCCATGGGTTAAATTTTAATTAAAAACTTAACTTTTGTACGTATACCTTGCTATAAAAAAAAAGTATTAATTTAGCGGTCTAGGAATTTGGGACTAGTAAAAAATAATGTATATATATGTATTTGTATAAATTGTTTTTATGTTTATTATTGTTTGCAGATAAAAATGAAACTTTTCTGTGTTGTAATATTATTCGTTTTCGTAAATGTTTCGGCAGATGATCGAAGTAATTATTTTATTTTCACAAGTACCAATATAAGGATATTACAAATTTGAAAACAAATTCAATATTTCATTTTTTTACAGTGCTATATACGGATATGGTTCGCCGTACAAGTCAGTAGTATTGTTGAATTATAAAAAAACTATGATTTTTTTAAGTTTTTAAAATTCACTGATTTTATACATATTTTTGAAATTATGTATTTTAGATGAAGTCATCGAGCGTGCTTATAATATTAATGATTTATCTGTAAACGGAATTTCTGGAATAAGTAAGATATATTTAAAATAATTATGCTAATATATAAAAGTTTTCTATATATCAAGTTAGCGTTAATGTGAATTAATTAATTGTAAGGGATACGTCTGTAATAAGTATGATATATTTAAATATCATATGCTGATGTATAAATAATTCGTTATATGTACTTTATTGTGAAGTTATTTGTAAAATAATAAGTAAAATTTTGTATCAATAGTTTAAAGTGCACCAGGTATGTAGAACAGTGTACAGAACACTATTATATTTAAAGTAGAGATTACTAATAACCTAATCGAGGAAGTAGTATTAAGTTGAATGGCTACTGCTCAAAGCATGATTTCATATTATTCTAGAGCTTTATAAAGTAGCTAATTTGATATTATTTCAATCTTATAGTATAGTCAAAATCTTTATTTGTTTATTGTAGATGGATTGGAGTATGTAATTGAAGCAATAGTTGATGATAAAGATTATAATGGGAATTTCGGTAATCAGAATTATAATAATAATAAAACAGATAATAATAGATAAAAAATATAAAAAATTCTACATATATTTATCTTCGTTGCATTTGATAAGTGATAAAAATATTAAATTTTTCTCAAAAATCTGTATGGAATCTTCATGAAAATGTACTGGCCCTGTCAACCTCATCTGGTTACTCTCTTCGCCACAACTGCTTCAATTCAGCAATTATATTTTCAAAAAGGTTCCTTGGTCTTTTTTTAAAGACAGTCTTTGTCTACTTTGATATTTTTCATCTTCTAATTTATTTTTATGTAATGATATAATTTATATTAGTCAATCAATCCAATATATTAATTTATTTATTGTCAATTTCAGGCAAAATCAATTTTATGATCGCTCTACCAGGTAATAGTTTTCGTAGGGCTTCATTAAAATATTTCCAATATTTCATTCATATTGAATTTTCCAAAGAGATTCCCATTGTATTTAATTTTCAGTGGAACATATTTCTTCCGAGTTACTATACTAATACACATGTTTTTTTCTACCGTGCGCTTTGTTTTCCTGTTTATAATAAAATATAAAATTTTTGCAGTATCATAATTTTTGTTATAATGTTAATTTTAGATAAAATAGAAATTGTCGCCTGTATATTAGGTAAGACTTTCGATTGCACATTATGTTTCCACCCAGTTGTTTGATATTTTTTATACACACAACATTTTTGTTTTAATTTCAGCACCAATCTTCCGTTCCGAAATAGAAAGTAACTACATTATTAAATTTTATATTCATTACACTTAACTCATATTCTTTATTTATAATTACTTTGAGAATAATTATATTTACCTATTGACAAATACCATTATGTAATCGTATTCTTTTCAATTAAAACACATTCGTCGGTACATTAATATATATTTTGTTTTACATTTTAGAAGCTATACATTTCCAATATGTGTTGCAAATGCAAATAATAAATAAATTAAGTAATATAAAATTTAAAAAATGTATAGTTATGTATTTGTAGTTATTTAAATAAAAACTAGTTTAAAAGCTAATGATAATGGAAATAATTTTCCATTTGTACAATAATATTTTGCATTAATTTATAATTGGTCTAAGTTATCTCATTTTTAGAATGACTGTTGTATTTTAAATACATAAACCTGTTTTTATTAACTGCATAATAGTTTGACGCTTGATGTATTTCTTCCAGGATTACTTAATGTCAGGATTCCTATTCCTGAAACCCAAGGTAACAACGAAGTTTTCTATAATCGTAAAAAGCCTGTAAAGCTTGTTTTGGAGTTAATATTTGCTTCATTTAACTTACTCTGTTAATTGTTCCAAATGTAGATAAGTGACCAATGCGCAATATAAACAAATTTATATTACATATATTAAACATAATAAATTAACAACAATACTTTTTTTTAGTCCTCTACAACTTGTCTAAAATGTTAATGTGTAATAAATTATTGGAGATATCATACAGAATGAATACATGCATACATGTATACAAGCAAATCAAATCAAATTTTTTTTTTTTATTATTATTTCTTCTCAACACAGTCATTTCATAATTTTCGCAGATTCTAGATCTATACATTTTACACCCCTTGCAGAATCGAGAAGACGTCGTGTTAAACCAGCTTTAAAAAATATAATTATCCGTACATTAGGTAAATATGAATATGGAGTTCTATGTGTTTTGAACTATTAATATATTTATAAAGTATTTAACAGAACTAGTTTATCCCAATATAACAAGAATACAACTAATTTTAATTTTCAACTATTATCCAAAAACGCGATCACTAATAACACACATACTTTATTTTAATACAATTAGCATAGCTGTACAATATGGACATCATGCATACTCTATTATTTTGTTATGAATTTATTTTAAAAAATAGGATATTTGTGTCTTACACCATATAGAAAAGTAGTAACTATTAAGCTCATATTGACAAATTCCAAATTGACATATTGGTTTCAATAATATAAGTATGTAGGTACGTGAAAATATACTTTGTATTTAATTTCAGTAACCATGATTAACCAGTTTAATATGAAGCAACCAGAAATAAGAGACACCTTTTTCGAAAATAAATTAAAACAAATATAAATATGTCAATTTTAAACTTAGGAGAAAGATTCTAATCTCAAAATGTTCAGAGTTTGGGATTTGATTTTGAATAGCCATTAACTCAGAATTTGATTTATGCGACAAGAGTTCCCTTTTCCCTTTCGCCTCGCATATTTATTATGCTGAATCTTTTTATGAAAGTTCAAAATATTATATAAACCATTTATTCAAAAATTGCTATTAGAAATAAGTTGACAATTATACAATTAATTTAAGTTTTAAATGACTGTTATTTATCAAATATAATATGTATACAACTTGTTTTATTGACTGCATAATAATTTGGTGTTTGATGTTTTTGTTACATAAATTGCGATTCATGAAGCTGACGTTGTCAAAAGTAATTTTTCAATAGTCATAAATAGTGTGTATAGCTTATTGTAAAGGTGAAATTTGCTTCATTTTTTTATTTAATTTTGTTTATTTCAAACAAAAATTTTAATAAAATAAACTTTTTGTTGATAAAAGAGAGAGTGTAAGACTTTGCAACCATTATGAGAACCTAAAGTTTAATACAAGGTTATTGTATAGTCATTTAATAATTGTTTTTGTAGACTGTGGACGCTTAAATTTGACAACCCTTGTAGACAATAGAAGAGTTACTGGAACATCTTTAAAAAATATAACGTGACGTGCATTAGGTAAATATTAATATGGAGTTGTAAGGTTTATTGAGTACCTCATATAATATATGCATAATGATTTCTTGTATGTATTTCCTATAGGAACTAATATTTCTGAAGTTGATGATGACGAAAGTAATTCTGATTTTTCCGATAATCGTGAATAGTCTTTAAACCTTATATTGGAGTTGAAATTTGCTTAATTTTATTTCAACTATTATTATCAAGTTCAAGAATAATGTTTTTATATTTTTAGTTAAATCTTTATGGCGGATATGTCGTTTGATGGGATTGTACATGAGTGCACAATCACCAACATCCTACATAAAAAATGTTCTGATTGACACCAATAGGAATTGTATCATGGATGATGGAATTACACAAAAAAGATACAAACAAATTAATGGCGTATGGTGGGAAATGGACTTAGATGACCGTAGAGTACAACTACTTCAGGAGCAGTTGATATAATTTCGACCAAGAATTAATGGTACAACTCATCATAATTTATATTATAATCTTTTCGTTATCATAAATTATTTTCAACAAACAAAATCAAACTATACCTACATCTTAAAAATAAATCTCATCACTTGTTTCCTATTTCATTTATCTCATATTTTATTCTGTTATGTTTGGAATAATCTATTGATCGTTTTACTGGTCTATTGGCAATTGTATAATGTTCTAAAAAATTTAAATAAGTTAACAATCAAAATATTGTAAAAAAACGACCCCAACATGATTTTTTTTTGTGTTTTACATTAAAATTAAAACGCTATACGAATTAAATGAGTTAGTAATTAAAAAACAAAATTATTGTTAAAGCGTTATTATGTTTAAAATTGTATTTGTATAATTAATATTGAAACAATTGTGGTTGATCATATTGATAGATAGATGTATTTTAATTTAAAAATATATGTATAAAAATATTAAAAAATTATACTATGCAAAATATAACATAAACAATATATATTGTTTGTCTCTGTAGGCTAAGCTTGTTGTGAAGATAGGAGTACTTTCTTTTATTAGAACGTATACATATTATAAAGCAAATTTTGTGTAAGTTATAATGCGAATAAAGTAATAAATTTAATATTAAATACTAATAACTTAACTATTTAATTTTTTCATCAGAGGTTTTTTATACAGTTTTAATATTCTAAGCTATTGTAAAAACAAGATTATGTTGAAACAATCAAAAAAAAAAAAAAAAATATTCTAAGCAAACCAACAACAATATCCAAATGGTTGGTTGGCTATTAATATATTTGAAAAAACCGTACATGTTTTAGTCCCTCTGACGAATTACCTTAAGGCTAATTTAAAGACCCAAAAACAAAGCATTTAAGCTTTGTTAGTGTACTATAAAATATAGAACAACATGCAATTTTTTATTTCTCACAATTTTTAGAATATAACGATATTGTTAAGGGTGAAATAACCACGGAAGCTAAATAGTAAACTTGCTAAGATTGATTTAAATTACAATTTTATAAATTCATGTGATCTTAATCAATCTGGTAAACCACCAAATCAATTAATTCGGGATGGTTTAATAAATCAAAGGTCAGGCTATCGTTTTAGATTAAATATAATTATCATTAGGTACTTTGTTAACCATTATTGCTTTTGTTGAATATGATTGGTCACATTTAATTATTTGTTAGGCATCATTCAAATTTTAGTATTTCAGTATAGGTAGTCATTTTAAATTTCAATATCTGTAGCCGCTGAAATATTTTTTGTAAAACCATGATGGCATTTTCAAAAAATAAAAGTACTATTTCGTTTAATAGTATACCTCGGTCGAAGTAATTTGTATACACCACAAATAATAATAAAAGAAAAAAAAGTAAACCAGCTGTGCAAACAAATGAACATATTTACACTGAAATGAACCTATTCGATTACGATTCTTCAGTCGTAATAAAAGCTTTTCTGCAAGAAAGACATTTAGTTTCAAAAGTACATCAAGTCGATTATTATCCAAGATATTCTATCAGCACAACAATTTTAGTAAGCATTTCTAGCAAACTCTAAACATTGTAATTTCGCTAAAACTAAAAGGGACATAAGCTTAACGAGCCAAAATTGTAAAAAAAACACAGTAATAAGTATTTTTTATTGACAGGTTTATTTTTATCGGGTCTTAATGGCGTCCTTTAATAACATTTATAAGCAAACGTTTTTCTTATATATTTTTTACCAAAACATTTACAAATATTGCGGTTTACACAATCCACGAATTGGACAGAATTCAATAACAAATATTTAATTTATTTATTATCAGGCTTGATTTTTACTAAAGGGTGTAAAATGCAATATTTTAAGCTGTCTTCATAATACCTCACAAAAATAGTGCCTCAGTGTTTAAAAACCTAAAGTAAACAAGTTTCAAAAAAAATTGTTCGTCAAAAAAGTAATATTTAGCAAAATAATACAGATTTTCCACCATAGCTCAAAAAGTTAAGAAACTACGAATATTTAATATTTTTAATAAATATTGATTTTTTGACTTGTAGAAGGGGAAATATTTTTTAACACATATGGACATTCAAAATCGTTTTTGATAAAAACAACAACATTTTTCGTAACGTTACAAATTAATAAAAAAAAAATTTATAAAAATACACCCTTTAGTTTATATAATTCATTATGTTAAAGTTATATATCACTCAACACTATTTTAAAATAAACAAGTAACAATGCTTATTGCGTTACAATTTTAGTAGTCGACTAACACATTAATTAATAATTTTATTATTAATTTTACAGTAATTAATATGATTCATGTATTTTTTATTGACATTTTGACCCTTTCTATAAATATTAAAGCCATACTTAGGGAGACTATTATTGATATTTTTCCTTAACTGCGAGAAGGAACGTAAAAATTAGAATATTTGAATTAAGAAATTATAAATTATTACCCTTTACAGTACATATTAATGGAGAAAAAATAAGCATGTTTTCCGGTTTATAATATGAAATATTATCATTGGAATATAAAAATTATTTAAAAAAAAAAATGTTTGCCAAAGATGCACTTATGTGCGAGTTTTTTTTTTAAATTCTGTATTAACTATTATTGAAGGTTGTGATAGTCTGATAAAAAAAAACTATTAATAAACTAATCACCCAGTATATTATTGCCAAGAAATATACTACTAGAAAATAAATTTCAATACTTTTTATAACGCTAATAACTTTATTTCTAAGGATTTTTTTTTTAACGAATATGAAAATAAGTAGCCTAAGAAATACTGTGGGCTTAGTAAAAAAGAAATGTATATATTTATCATATAAAAAATAGCACCAAAACCTTCTCATCTCTGCTCCAAATGCAACTGTGACTCATATACATAACTTTGATGTTTATTATTATTTGCAGATAAAAATGAAAATGTTCTGTTTTTTAATACCATTTTTATTCTTAAATGTTTCGGCAGTTGAAGAAGGTAATTATTTTAAGTTCTCAAAAACCAACTTAAGATAGTTGAAAATTTGGAAAAAAGTTCAATATTTTACTTTTTACAGCGGTATATAAGCAGATAGTTTGCCGTACAAGTCAGTAACATTTTTGTTTTATAAAAAATGTTTTTCATATTTTTTAAATTCACTGATTATAAACAAGTTTTTGAAATTATGTATTACAGATGATGTCATCGAACGTGCTTTTAATATGAATGATTTAACTGAAGAAGATGATTCTGTAACAAGTATGATATATATTTGAATATTATACGCTAATGTATAAATGATTCGTTATGTGTACTTCATTGTGAAGTAAGTTGTAAAATAATAAGTATAGTTTTTGTCAATAGTGGATAGTGCTACAGGTATGTAGTACCAGTGTACAGAACTATATTATATTCAAAGTAGCGATTACTAATAACCTAATCGAGGAAGTAGTATTAAGTTAAATGGCTACTGCTCAAAGCATGATTTCATATTATTCTAGACCTTTATAAAGTAGCCGATTTGATATTATTTCAATCTTATAGTATAGTAAAAATCTTTATTTGTTTATTGTAGATGGATTGGAGTATGTAATTGAAACACTAGTTGATAATAACAATTATTATGCGGAATTCGGTAGTCATAATTATAATAATAACAAAACAGATAATAATAGATAAAAAATATAAAAAATTCTACATATATATATCTTTGATGCATTTGATAAGTGATAAAAATATTAAATTTTTCTCAAAATCTGTATGGAATCTTCATGAAAATGTACTGGCCCTGTCAACCTCGTCTGGTTACTCTCATCGTCACAACTGCTTCAATTCAGCAATTATATTTTCATAAAGATTCCGTAGATAGTTCCGTATTTAATAAAGATAGTTTTTTTCCTACTTTCATCTTTTTCTTCGTCTAATTTATTATTATGTAATGTAATTTTTTATATTAGCAAATCAATTCAATATCAATAATTTATTTATTGTCATTTTCAGGCAAAATTAATGTTATGATCGCAGTACCTGGTAATAGTTATCGTTGAATTTTATGAAATTATTTTATGTATTTTATTCCTATTGAATTTTTCCGAGTTACTACTAATACATATGTTTTTTTCTACCTTGAGCTTGGCTTTCCTCTTTATAATAGAATATCAAATTAAATGCAATTTTATTAATTTTTTGTAACGTTAATTTTAGACATATTGGAAATTGTTGTCCATCTAACGGGTAAGAATTCCCCCATTGCACATCATGTTTCCACACAGTTGTTTTATATTCTTTATACACACTAAATTTTCGTTTTAATTTCAGTACCTCGTAGAAAATTCCCCAACGCACTAAGAAGTAACCACATTTTTATATTTCGTATTTATTATACTTACCGCATGTTCATCATTTATAATTACTTTGAGAATAATCATACTATGTACCGATTGACAAATACCAATATGTAATCCTATTGGTTCCAATCACAACAAAAATATTTAGTTACATTAATACAGGGTGATCAACTTATCGTGAACCACTCAATATCTCTCTGGATTTAATTGATCATAGAATTGTTTTTTTTCTTAATGTTTTTATTCAACGTGATCTCAATTTCTCACACATTTTTTTTTTACCCCTCAAGAGTTTAAAATTATTCTCAAATAAAAAAGTTAATGAAATGTATGTGTTACCATTTAAGTTTCAAAAATTGATATAAAAAACGAAGTTGGGGGGATACATTAACATGTATTATGTTTTTCATTTTAGAAGCCATGCATTTCCAGGATCTGATGCAAATAGAAGTAATAAACAAATTAAGTAAATATAAAATTTAAAAAATTCACAGTTACGTATTTGTAGTTCTTTAAATAAAACCAATAATAATTATTTTGGGAGCCTTAAAGTCATAGAGCTATTTATGTTTTATGCTTAAGCTTTAGATGACCATTCGGTATATAATTTAAACCGTTTATTTAAACGTAGCTATTGGAAATAATTTTACATTCATACAATAATATTTTACATTGATTAATTGGTCTAAGGATATCAGTTTTAGAATGACTTTTATGTATAAAATACTGAATCCGGGTTTTATGAACTGCATTATTATTTGATGTATTTGTTACAGGACAACAGGTCTGGTTTGGTTTTTTAATGAATGAATCTCATGGTAATTAGCAATTTTTCTATAGTCATATTTAGCCTGTAAAGCTATTGTTTTAAAGTTAATATTTGCTTTTATATTAATATTATAATAATGTGTTATAATAACATAATGTGTAAAATTATCATAACAACGTGTAATGCCAAACAATAATTATAATAAAATAAACTTTTTGTTGAGGAGATAGAAAGAGAAGAGAGTGAGGCTTAATAACCATTTATGTTTTTAAATAGAAAAACAAAATATTATTACATATATAATATGTGTGTGTGCTCTAACTCAAAAGGGAGACATATACCCTGAATATGTTTGCCCCTTGTCGACCTTAAGTTGACTACAATGTTAATGTGTAATAGGTTTTTTGGGATTTCAAGTATAGAATAAACACATTTGTTGAGTTTTAACACTATTGACTGATTGTACAAAAAAAAAAGTTACATCACTATTCTTTAAAATGTATTGCAAATGTAAGGTATCACGAGCAACTAAAATATTTTTTATTTTTCTTATCTCTTCTCAACACAGACATTTAATCATTTTTGCAGATTATAAAATATTAGATTTGACAGCCCTCGCAGAACAGAGAAGACGTCGTGTTAAACCAGCTTTAAAAAATATAATCGAACGTACATTGGGTAAATATTAATATGGATTGTATGGGGTTTGAACCATTAATATTTATATTTATAAGGTATTAAATAAAAATAATTCACTCCAATATGACAATGACATAACTAATATTATTTTTTATAATTATTCAAATAAGTAATCAATACTAACACCATACTTTATTGTAATACAAATAGCATATTTACTTTTTTTTTTTTTGACTGTACAAATTTTAATACTTTTTTATAATAAACAACATAGTTGTGTCCTCCACTACAAAGAAAATTAGTACTGCTACGTACCAGGCTCCTAATGACAAATATCAATATGACATATTGGTTTCAGTCATAAAAAAATATGTAGGTACATTAAAATATATTTTGTATTTAATTTTAGACATCTCGTTTAACCAGTTTAATATGAAGCAACCAGAAATAAGAGACACATCAAGTAAGTAAAACATTTAATAAATTAATATTTATACATATTTTTAGTTCTAAAGAAAATTTATAAAATATTGATTTAAGTCTAATTAAAGAATGTACTCAATTTCCGAAAATAAATTAAAACAAATATAAATAGGCCAATTTTAAACATAGGAGAACGATTCTAATCTCAAAATGTTCAGAGTTGAGGGCTTGATTTTGAATAACCATTAACTCAGAATTTGATTTTTGCGACAAGGGGTCCCTTTTTCCTTTCTGCCTCGCATAATTTTTGACAGACTATTATTTATAAAATATAATATGTATAAAACTGGTTTTATTGACTGCATAATAATTTGATGTTTGATGTATTTGTTACATAAATTGCGATTCATGAAGCTGATGTTGTCAAAGGTAATTTGTCGATAGTCATGAATATCTGTAAAGCTTATTGTTAAGTTGAGATTTTTTTTATTTTCTTTATTTAATTTAGTTTGTTACAAACAACAATTTTAATAAAATAAACTTTTTGTTGATGATAGAGAGAGAGTGTGTAAAACTTTGAAACCATTATGAGAATCTAAAGTTGACTACAATGTTAATGTGCAATAAGTTCTTTGGACTTTCAAATATAGAAAAATACATATGTTAGGTTTTAACAACAATGACTGGTAGTACAATAAATTAGTTATGTCATAAATACTTAAAAATGTAATGCAATAAATGCGATAATAATGATAATGCATAAAAAAATGTTTTTTTATTATTCTTACTTTTTCTCAACACAGTCATTTAATAATTATATTCCTAGATTTGGGAGGCCTAAATTTGACAACCCTTGTAGAAAAGAGAAGAGTTACTGGAACATCTTTAAAAAATACAATGAGACGTTCATTGGGTAAATATTGTAAGGGTTTTTGAGTACCTTTATTAATATTATGAATAATGATTTGATGTATTTGTTACAGAAACTAATATTCCTAAAGCTGATGATGATGATGATGACGAAAGTAATTTTGATTTTTTCGATAACCGTAAAATTTCTTTAACCCTTAGGTTAGAGTTGAAATTTGCTTGATTTTTTAAATAATGTTTTTATTTTTTAGATGAATTTTTATCATTTTTATCATTTCGGTTGTGTCGTTTGATGGCATTGTACATGAGTACACAATTTCCAACAGCATACATAAAAGATGTTCAGACTGACTCCAATATTTGTATCATGGATGATGGAATTACACAAAAAAGATACAAACAAATTAATGGCGTATGGTGGCAAATAGGTTTAGATGACCGTAGAATACAACTACTTGAGGAGCAGTTGATATAATTTCGACCAAGAATTAATGGTACAACTCATCTTAATTTATATTATAATCTTTTCGTTATCATAAATTATTTTTAACAAACAAAATCAAACTATACCTACATCTTAAAAATAAATCTCATCACTTGTTTCCTATTTCATTTATCTCATATTTTATTCTGTTATGTTTGGAATAATCTATTGATCGTTTTACTGGTCTATTGGCAATTGTATAATGTTCTATATAATTGTTCTCATATAATTTAAATAAGTTAACAATCAAAATATTGTGAAAAAACGACCCCAACATGATTTTTTTTTTGTGTTTTACATTAAAATTAAAACGCTATACGAATTAAATGAGTTAGTAATTAAAAAACAAAATTATTGTTAAAGCGTTATTATGTTTAAAACTGTATTTGTATAATTAATATTGAAACAATTGTGGTAGATCATATTGATAGATAGATAGATGTATTTTAATTTAAAAATATATGTATAAAAATATTAAAAAAATTATACTATGCAAAATATAGCATAAACAATATATAATGTTTGTCTCTGTAGGCTAAGCTTGTTGTGAAAATAGGAGTAATTTCTTTTATTAGAACGTATACATATTATAAAGCAAATTTTGTGTAAGTTATAATGCAAATAAAGTAATAAATTTAATATTAAATACTAATAACTTAACTATTTAATTTTTTCATTAGAGGTTTTTTATACAGTTTTAATATTCTAAGCTATTGTAAAAACAAGATTATGTTGAAACATTAAAAAAAAAAAAAAAAAAATATTCTAAGCAAACCAACAACAATATCCAAATGGTTGGTTGGCTGAATATATTTGAAAAAAACCGTACATGTTTTAGTCCCTTTGACGAATTACCTTAAGGCTAATTTAAAGACCCAAAAACAAAGCATTTAAGCTTTGTTAGTGTACTATAAAATATAGAACAACATGCAATTTTTTATTTCTCACAGTTTTTAGAATATAACGATATTGTTAAGGGTGAAATAACCACGGAAGCTAAATAGTAAACTTGCTAAGATTGATTTAAATTACAATTTTATATATTCATGTGATCTTAATCAATCTGGTAAACCACCAAATCAATTAATTCGGGATGGTTTAATAAATCAAAGGTCGGGCTATCGTTTTAGATTAAATATAATTATCTTATTGATTTTTTAAATAATGTTTTTATTTTTTAGATGAATTTTTATCATTTTTATCATTTCGGTTGTGTCGTTTGATGGCATTGTACATGAGTACACAATTTCCAACAGCATACATAAAAGATGTTCAGACTGACTCCAATATTTGTATCATGGATGATGGAATTACACAAAAAAGATACAAACAAATTAATGGCGTATGGTGGCAAATAGGTTTAGATGACCGTAGAATACAACTACTTGAGGAGCAGTTAATATAGTTTCGTTCATGAATCAAACCTATAACTCTTAAGAAAATGTATAAAACTACTGTTACTTTATTGTAATAATATTTTTATACTGCACTAATATCCTTTTTCATATTGCACTAATAGCTGTAAATTTATATAATGTATTTCATAATAAATAGTTTTATTGACAATGATAATGTTATTTGTTGCAGATACTTAATACTTATTACCATACTATACAGATTATAATTTGAAACATTTTTAAAAATAAAATTCCTCTAATCCACTACATCTGTAGCTGTTTCTTCAATATTTTTAATTTTTAGTAAGTATATTAATACTTTCTTCACGATTAAACTCGATGGCACATTCATATATGAATATAATTATTTTCATTTACTTTATGTAGCCTTGCAACTCTATAAAAAATCACATTTATTTATTTTTACACATGTTTAATACCTAAAAAGTATTGCGTGGTCTAAGACTGAAAAAACAACATCACCAACATTTTTGCTATTCCTTTATAGCAGTTATATCAGTCTGATACAAGTCTAGCCTGAACTAATTTGTTTTATTTATTTGTGGAGAAGGCAAAGAAAACCGGGTAGTTAAAATCTAAAGGTCAAAGGGTTTTACTAACTTAACCGTACATTCAAAGTACTATTTAGTTATTCCGATTTCATACTTGTAAGTCTCTTAGGATTATTTTACTAATTATTTAAAAACATAATTAACTGTTTACTCTTGTCCTGCAGGATATATTGCATTAATATAGTATAATATCATTTAAAAATGAAAAAAGGCAGTTAAATAAAAAAGTTTTTAGACAGTCGTTTAGTCGTCATACGTTATACCTACAACTTATGAATAACTATGAGAAAACCCTTTTCACAATAACAATTTTAAATCGACTATAAATATAACTCTTATTATGTTTGTCAGAAATAGGTCATATCACTATAGTAATACACTAAAGTAAACATTTTTTAAGAAATTGTGTTTGTTTATTATTTTCATTAATTTTTGCTTGGTATTCAATTGTGTGGCGACAATGAATTTGTTGAGTACATCCCTTTCCGAGAGTAATCCTCACGGTTTGGAATACGATGATGAGCGAAACGATAACGATTATGATGTTATGAAATTCGACGACTACTTACTCACCAAAGAACCCCCTTATTATTTCAATCGAGTTTTCGTCAGTAAAGGAGATTCCTATAACGGAAAGTACATCATAAAGGTTTGTGATGAGATAATATAATATTATACGTAAAAGCCAGCACAGTTAGGATGTTTTGGAATGTGAATTTTAGTACCTGACAACAGTGAAGACTAAAATCCACAATGCAACAGAACCGCCAAATTTTGCAGACCAGTCGGACGACGACGAAGTAATATCAAAAGAAGAACGGAATAATAATGTTGGAAATAATTCTAACTTAATCTGCGACATAAAAAAAATGGCCGATTTGGGGCTTACGATGGACAACGATGAACAAAATCTGATGAATATCATCGATATGATGACAGCTAAGGAGTTTCATAAGTATTATTGGGTGAAGGTGCCACCAAATCAACCAATTGTGTTATGTCAAATCGGTTTACTCCCATTAGATTATTAGAAATAGAACCGAAGAACAGACTGAAATATATCAAGGACTATTATGATACGACCAACAAGATTGTTGCAACGGTTTCGTTGGATAAATTAAATAAATTCAGCAACAGTGTCGACGGAGAGGTAGCCTATGATATTTACACTGTTGCCGAAAACGACAAACCTATTGTAGAACCAAAAGTAAATAAGTTTCAAAAATAATAATCTGTGTCAGTGTTTTATAATATAATGTTACCAAACAATAGTATGAGACGTGTGATTTTACTCTAAATAAGGATGACCATTTCACTGATGTAAATTTGATTAGAGAAGATGAAATTTGGAAATTGCTCAAGTCGTGTGGCGTTGTGATAATAGACGTGTCCAGAGATAACGATGAGTTGGCGAGAGGTAGGCGGGTATTCAATGCATTATTAGAAAACATAATAAACGCCAATGACAATGACCACCAACCGCCGAATGGCTATCAAAGAATGTGTATTGTGATATCTACAGTCATGACTTGGGCGGGCAATAATTTAACAGTAAGTTCCAGTATTTTAGCACGATTGCAAATTTTAATTAATTGTTTCCAAAACAGATACTTAGGTAAGGTTTGAAGAATCGACCTTTTTCCGATGTTGTTGGGTATTAAATGTTTGTCGCGTTTCTTGATATAAAATTAAAACGTTAAAAAAACAATTTTTATCTGTAATCGTTATTGTACTTGAACATAAAATGTATGCTATAGTCTATACTATAGTTTGCTTCCTATTTTTTACTATGGGTAATATGTACCGGGAAAATGTACCTTTTCACTTACTTCATAATATTTTACTTATTGAGACATTGGGCTCTACCATCAGCGGCCAGACGTCAACTATATTATATCGAATAAGTCTAATAATACTGGTTTACAAGACAATCCAATATTACTGAATAATTATAATGTTTTGGAACCATTCACAGAAAACAAATTGAGGTGCACCTAAACTTGGTTGTATCAGTGACAACATTTTATAGGTGGTCGTACCTGGCATTAAGTTAAGTCAACCAAACGAAAGTTAACTTAATTAAATTATTACTCAATGATACAATTTATCCATTCTATAGTATACTATAGAATTTTTATTGATATTTACCTTTAAGTGTTTCACGGTTGTGTGATAAATTTTTTTAAAATTTTATTTAACAAAACTAGCTTATAAATTATTAAGGTCTTCAAACCGTGACCTCGGGACGCGACTTTATGTTTTGAGTTGTCATCACATTTTTGTATTAAAATACGATAATAAGTATATTGTCATATATTTTTTATCAAGGAAAATAAGGATCCGTATAATGTGAAAAATGGAAAAAACAGACGTCCGCATCCGGCATTTGAGGATCATTTTCAATTCGAGCAGGAAGTGCTGACTGCAGGAGTAATAATTTTTTACCGTCAATAGTATCTTAACTACATCTATTGAAGACCTATTAAATCTATTTACATATATGCTTAACTAATGTAGAGAAAATTGCCGTTAAAAACCATAATAGTATGGTCTGGAATCACATATGGGTTTGAACAAGATTTGTTGAAATTCGCCTTCGATTCATTTTTTTCCAACTCAAGCAATTTTTTAATACCCAAAAGTCTGAACTACGTACCCATTACTCATGTGGAAAATTTAGCCAAGTACGACTTGAACGCGGTGATATGAATCGGCAAAACGTCTCTAAAAGATTTTCTTTTTCTTAACTTCAACAGAGTTGTGTATAAATCGATGACCGAATCCGAACGATTGGAGTACAGCTGTATTTTCGCCGTTGATCCCTGGCCATCGACTTTACAGCAAATCATCATGGTACGCTTTTTGATTAGAATTTCGGTACGATGAGTTTATGTTGTAATGTTTTAATTCATTTACACAGGCTTTTACTCGGGGATGTAATGCGAAAATATCCACATTTGTGCCTTTGGAGAAATTTTTGGATGATAGCGACCTTCGTGTTAGTGTGAGGTAATTACTGACTAAAATATTGTTATAATGCACTAGGTATGTCATGTTTACAGGGCACGCACAGGCACATCATATCGGCCAACATGAAAATTGAACCTAGCATCGATCATGTGTGGCCCGAATTTCAGTGGTATGGCAACAAGTCATCGATAAGCGACCAGATGGAATTGTTGATGGAGATTTATAAAATAGAACATAATATCAAAGTAAATGTCACGGGTTCTTTATAATGGAGAGTAGAGATAAAAGCAGGACCAAGAATTAGTGGAAATAAAACAGAATATGTTTTTCTACCAGTGGATACTTGAGTTGAGGTGAGGTTTCATTGCTTTAATAGGAAGTTTGCCATCTGGTTTTATCTAAACAGTGGTTTGGGCATGACATAAGGAGAGAGTAATGGTTGGATACGAATGAGAATGATACGAAGACTGATGATGTGAGACATGGTGTCGAGTGGAAGTTTAGGACAAGAGCCAAGGGTGATCGACCCCAACTGGTTGGGATAAAGGCAAAGTGGAAGAAGTGCTTCATAATACTTGTTTAACAGTATCGGATAAATAGTTATGATGTCACATTTATCGCAGAATATTAAAATACTTGTACTCGGTCCACCAGCTACGGGAAAAACTAAATTGGCTCACAAGTTGGTCAATTATTATAACGTTCAGTACTTGGAACCAAACAAATTGATTGACGACTACATCGCTAATATTGTACAGTATTTATGGTATCATACCCGAGTGACGTACCTGAGTAATTATGGTTTGACACTGTCCACAGAGAAAGGAAATCATGAAGTTACGAACACCTTTGTCTGTGGATTCGATAGACGATGTCGACCACCCCGAAGAAGATGTGCACACTAAAGAAAAGGTGGCCAAATTAGAAAAAGAGCTAAACGCACTGTATGCATCTATAGACCAAAACGATGGGCGATTGGAAGACGTTCATTTGATTCCGTAAAATCAATAATCCATCTATTTCGGGCGTTAGATTAGTTTTTCGGTTGTTTTTTTTTAGGCTTTTCCGAAAGAAAATATCGCCAAAATTCTCTACGAATGTCAATTATATTTTGGATGGTTATCCAACATCAATCCGTCAATTTAAATTACTTTTCTCCGACCCAGACTCGCCGGACAAAATGGACGAATGCATAATGCCCGGTAAGAAATTGTTTTTTAAGTATTCATAATCCTCTCTGATGTAAATTCATTCCAAAAAAAAATAATATTTCTGGGTGATTTCTCATGAACACAATACCTAATTTTTATACATTTTCAAGTAGCTGTACGCATTTATAATTTAAAAACATTTTAAAATCCTACTGATGTAGAGCTGGTGGTATGTTTAAAACAAAATCCGTTGTCCCAACCACTTATGGAAATGTATACTCAAAACGAAGCGTCCATCGTTGAGTCGAAGAGTGCCAAACGACGGTTAATGTTTTCCGATATTACCACCATTTCCTCATCGAATCCCAATTTAGTGTCTTCGCCGAATATACCCGCCAAAGCCGCCAAACCTATTCTGAAGATGTCTAATAGTGGCAGCAGCCAAAAGAGCAGTCTGAATAAGAAACGATTGACCTCCTCAAAAAGGTACGAGAATGGCCTCCGGATAACAGCTAATCGTAGTGGGTATTTAATAAGGATTGCGATTAGTTCTCAGATTCATTGGAACGAACAAGACCTGAAAAACTTAATGAAAATGTTTGGAATATATTACATACCTATTCAAACGCTTGATTCGCCGTATCCTACGTTGAAATTTGGCTCTGCCATAAAAGACATACCGGAAGCGGACCTATCCATAGACAAATTGTTTAACGCAGTTCTCAAACAGTTCAGACTAAACCAACGTAAAAAGTAGAAATATACAATATTTGAAATCCTACAATAATTACCTACTTACGTTTGTGTAGATTTATTCCCAGGAATGTCGTCTTCGAAGACTAAAATTGATCTGGAAACGATCAGTAGAGTTTCGACTGAACAAAGTCAACAGGAAATGGAACGAAGAAAAAAGCTGATGGAAAAAGTAAACTATTTCCGAGTTTAATATCGACCTTCAATAGTAATCAACCTTCAATGCTCAATTTTGATACGAATATGTCTTACTTCATCACCACGTCATGTCACGAAATATGTGAATATGTGATAAGCGATAAGAAATAAGAGATTATACATGAGATATCAAGAGCCTCTCTCTTGATATCAAGAGGCAGATTAGGAGGGAAGGTAGAAATAGTCTAGAGGGAAAAGGAGAGGTTAGGGTAGGAAATCCCTGCCGTTCCAAATCGCTTATTAACTGATAAACTTACTTACCCTATTCCTCTTCTCCTTTCCGACATAACTGAAGCGATACGAAAGTTAAATTTTAAATTTAATTAATAGGTAAATAGATTTTTTGACATCAATGTATCTTATTTAAGTTATCCAGCCTCCAATTACCATAGTCATGATCTAATGTCTTTCTTTTAAGGAAAAAACTAACAATTATAATTTTATAGCTTACAATTTCTTTTAATTACATTTTAGAAGATTTAGCATTATTTTTGTTAGAATTGTTCTGTTTGATAGTTTTGATCGAGTTTAGTCGTCGAACAAATTAATTTAAATCCAATAATTAATGACCGCTATCGTATTTAAACAGTGCAGGTTTTAAAAATGTTTAATAAATTTAATCAAGAAGTACATTTTTAGATGACCCTCTTGGAGGAATTTGAACGTTTGACGGATTTTGAACACCTCGAAAACATTTCCAGCGAAGAATATCTAATAAAATACATCACTCCGACATTAACAAAATTGTTTGTTCAAGTTGCCAAAGTTAGACCGCGTAACCCGATGGAGTTCATGGTAATATTAATTGGAATACATTTTCGACATGGGCATCTATTTAATTCTCAAAATAGATCTAAACCTCTCTGGCTAAAACTGATAACAACCGAGTCTCTTTTAGGCCATTTAAATTTAGACCCTAAATCTTTAAACACTAAACTGACTATAAGCGTTTGAAAATTTCACAAACATAAAAGTCACACTAACAAGCACTTTATTGCACCAAAAAATTGAAAATTTTACTCCTTCCCCTTTAAAATCGAGAGAAACACCCAAAAAATGTACATAATTTTCAACTTAAATTACACTGTTTCATATATTTTATAAGAATTGTAGAATTATTTCAAATTTGTATGGAATATTCTTTAGATATAGTAATACCGATAAACGTTGACAACCAAAAAAATATCACCATAAACCCTTTCCCTTAAAATGGGTGGTAACTTTTTCTTTATTAGGCTGTTGTAGGTGAAGTTAATGGTTTAAGGTCTAAAAATAAGGAAAATTCTCAAAAATCAGTAGTCAAATTTTTTTTTTGGGAAAAACCAAACAAGATGGAGAAAAAATACTTTGACCGAAGTCAATTTACAGGTTGTTATATTTTCATCGTATTTGTATGTTTACAGGCGTATTTGGCTCTGAAAGAAAACCCGGAGAGTGTACCGCATTGTCCCGGTTATTCCCGGAACGGTATGAAATTACAAGAACTGCTCAACCGGATGTCACTGATTTCCGGTGACGAGTTAACATCCAAAAAGCCTCTATTGGTGTCGGTCGACGGTCGCCAAATCACAAACGTGGACACTTGTGTTGAAACACATCCGGATTCGATTGAAACGGAATTAACGGCTTTAAGCGAGCACGAATTGAATTTCGAATATGAAACCATGTCGATGTGCGACAGTAACCGTTAGAAATTTTCTTGTTTTTTAGGACTACAATATTTCAACTGAGTATTATAATAATTGGACACGAATTGTGGTATTGTGGTTCGTGTTGGTCACTCGGCTCATTAAAGTGTATTCCATAACCGAAATTGTGCGTTTTTGTGTATATCACATACAATAATTATCCCTTATACCTGAATGAGTAACCGATAAGTTTACCATACGGCCTTAAGAATATAGCAGACTCGGCTTTTACCAGGCTAGATATCTCAAACTTTTTTAATCGTGAATTAAAAAAAAACTTGGCGTAGGCGTGTGTTGTGTTGTCGGTATTGATTATAGCAACGTAGCAAACCATATTATATCACAGTATTTTATATTTGCAAAATATTATATTACCGAAGCGAAATTTCCTCACCTCCCATCGAATGAGAAAAGTTTTTTCTAAAGCTTAAAAAATATTTTGCACGTTAACGTATCAAGTTTTTATACTGACATACAATTTTTTTGTTTACAATGCAGCCTTACCACAATCGTACAACTTCTTTGGTGTTTAACTATTAATCCAACAATTGAATTTAGTATATATTTTTCCCGTTGGAAGAATCAATAACATATATTCATATATGAATTTCAAAGGCACCTTTTTTTTTATTTAACAGCAACGTTTTTCGTTATGCTGTCAGCATTTCTGTCCAAAACCTAAAATTTGTACTCTATTTTATACTATTGTTTTTGTGTTAAAACAGTTATTTTCAGTGCACTTTTTTTCCACAAGATAAAAAAATATCATCATGATTTATGTGTAATTCCCATTTTTTTTTAAATATTAACGTTGATAAGAGAAAAGACAAAGTGTAGATACGAATGTGTAGTCGTTTTCTGTATATTGTACCAAGAATTTATAAAAAAATGAGTATATTTTGTTTTTGTAAATAGTCAAACGATAAAGCAGTTGAAAAAAACTTAACACATCTGTGTATACAAATCCAACAATGGTATATCTGATTCTAGAATCTAGTCAATGTATGATATATTACTAGTATAACCTTGATTTTCTAAGCTATTATAAATAAGCCCTCGCAGCTCGCACCAAAAAAAAAAACAAATTTAAGCGAAATAATTTCATAAGTTGATAATTATTTAAAAAGCAGTAATTTTAAACAGTAACAGAGATGTATTTATAAATTTGACGTCGGATTGGCAAATGTACATGTATTATCTAACTATGAGTAATAAACACTTAAAAACTGGTTTGTCTAAATATATTGACAACTATTAGTAGATTTTTTTTCGTAACGCTGGTAAAATAATACAAAAAATATTGGATTTTGCAAAAGACTACGTGAACACAATGCACGAGAGCGGAGAGATACACATTTAGGTTATAGGCACATAGTCATTTTCTGTATATTATACACGGGATTCAAGAAAAGTTCAAAATATTTTGTCAGTAGGAATAAAGGTACATTAAAACAACTGTGTATGCAAATGCCACAAAAGTTTATACGATTCGAGAATATTGTCAACGCATGATGTCTTATACTAGTATATATATATATATATATATAGTATTGTATTACTAGTATGGCCTTCGATTTTCTAAGCTACTATAATAAGGGCTCACACGAACACAAAAAAAAAAACCAAATTTATAAATAAGTAATGTTTATCACAAAGATCTCTAAAGCGGAGTTTTCCCAATTAAAAAAATGAATAATTATACCATTAGACGCTAATGTACGTCTGATATTCTTCTATACAATTTAAGTACATATTGGAACTTGGAAATTCATAGTTTTGATATTTGATGGCATGGAAGCTGGTTAAGTATATGTAATGGTGTTTTGCAATACACAATTTCTAAACTATTTTTTGAAACATAAAAAAAAATTGCATACCTTTTCGATATGTTTGTAGGGTTTTATACAACATATATACTTACAGACTTGCGCAAATATGCAAGTTAAACAATAGTGCCGCATCTAAAAAATTCAATAACATAACTCGTATAGTTTTAGTTTTATTTTTTCAATTCAGTTTAAGACAGGCATCCAAAGGCGGTAAAATTCATTCGTTTTGTCCCAAAGTTTAACTTCAGTTTATACTTTATATAGCAGTACAATGTTTTTTAATTTCTCTTTGTTGTTACTCTTTTTTGTCATAACGGCTAGCTGTAGGATTCCGTACCGACCTAGTACATCCGGTACAGGTGATCTTGAAGATGAGGTAATTCATACTATTATTTTTCGACAATATTTAGCTGAATCATTTATAATATAAAGGAAAAAACCAACCCAAATAGTCATTCTTATCTGGGAAACTATTATTATTTTAGCATAAAGGCTTACACATAAAATTATTTTCATAAATAGTTATAATCAAAAAAAGTTTTAGAGCTTAAAAAAAGTAATTTAGAATCGTAACTTAATGATTTGAGTTAAATTCATTCAAAATCATGTGTTAGCCGAAAACATATAATTAGGTTTTAATACTTTGTAAATTATTAAATATTAATAGTTATATTATTTTTTGAATTAATAAAATAAGATTAGTGCTGTAAATCTGAGCGTAATAAATAATGTAACCTAAATAAAATAGTTACTGTCTTTTAATGTTAAGTATACGTTCTATGCTTTGTAAAAAATAACGAAATAATGTCAAGAACAATATTTATATAATTTATAAATTTGGTTACTAAGACAAGATTATCAAAATAATTTCTTAAACCTCCTGAAGTACATATATTTGTGTTATATTATAGCAATCAATAAAATAATTTTTTAATCCATTTTCATTTTGATTAATAAAACCTTAAAATTTTTAATAAGGCAAAGTGTACTTAGCATACAAAAAATAACCTTAAATAAATACTATTTAAATAATATTATTTAAGTTTTACAGTCGGATTTTTTATGGAATTCAACTTTGTATTGATAATAAATTTTCAGATTATAGAACATTCGTTCAAGGATTGTATAAAATGGTTGACCAATGTTCAAAAAAAAAAGACTAGTAGTTTGGCTTTACGGTTATACAATGCTCTAATATCCCAGACTAGTGATTTAACATTGGGTCAATGTGTATTGTATATGGGTAATGACGATTTGAAATTCGCGAATGAATACTTTGATGAGCAAAGAGCAAAAAAAAAAGGTAAACGCAAAGTAAAAATCATCATTATAAAAACAATACATTTTCAGCTAAAATAAAATTGTTTCATCAACAACCGAGGTTACCACTACACCACACCGTGCCTTTATAATAACATATATTATAAATGATAATAATTATTATTTATATTAAAATTCAAAATAGTGGTATATTTTTGTTCTAGAACCTTTAAATTTAGAAGGATTTGTTGATCTTTTTAAACACGTTTGCAAAGGAAAAGGGAAGTCCGTACAAGAATGCGCTGAGGAGTGGGAAACTGAAGAAGGGGTAATCTTATATTATAATAATAATTGTTTGTTACAACAGCTAAAGTATATCTGTGTTAAATTATAGCAATCAATAAAAAAACGTTTAAATTAATTTTTATTTTTTAGTCTGTGTAAAAAAACATTAAAGCTTGTAAAAATGTGACGTATACTTGGCATACTACAATTACAATTTTTAAAAAAACAAACATTTTTATAGAATCCGAGTAATAAATATGTTTTTTATTTTTTGTAAAAAAAAAATATGTTAATTAAAAAATTACATTTCCTCTAAACCAAAAAAAAGTAATGATTAAGAAATCAAAACTATACTTTTATTTATAACAAACTGATAAAAAAAATTTTTTTTTTATTACTTGTTAATTAGCCCGTAGGTTATACGTGTATTTATTTAGATTTTTTATGAAATTAAACTTTGTATTGCTAAATGATTTTCAGGTTATAGTAGACTCGTTCATTGATTGTAAACAATGGTACAACAGAAACCTACCTTACTTAGTTGAAAGAATTTCATGCTATACATTTGCCAGTTATATGAAATTGGCTCATGAAGATGATAAGTCCATAGATCATCATCGTATCGTGAGTGATTTCATGCAGACCCGATCATACCCAAATTTTTCAAAAGATCCAGGTAAACATTAAGTACACACGTTATAATATATATATATTTAAGGATCGGTCAAACAGAAAGCGGACTGTCCGCGCGGACAGGGTCCGTCCAACTAGTCTGCCAGTCCGCTGCGGACTGGGATAGTCAAAAAGAATGCGGACAAGTTTGAGCGAACCAGTGTGAAAACTGCCACAACCAAGAGTGTACTGCTGTGCTGGTTGTTTTTTTATTTTTTACTTTTTTATCTCACGTTTTCTGTTTTCATTTTCTTTTACAAAATGTCTAGATTCTTCTGCTTGTCCTGAGTTAAGCAAGATGAAAAAAAAAGAAAATGGGTACATAAATTAAATAAAAAAAGAATAGAATATTTGGGGAGTTTCACCGACTATGCTGTATTCTCAACGTTCAAACTAGAACTGAACTAAATTGAATTCAATAATTTAAGAGGTCATATTTTTATGAATTGTTTTAAGCCGGATACAGATAGCATTAAACGCTAAAATATTAGCCAGAAACTTGATGTTTTAATATACTAGGCACCTTAGATACGAGCTTGTTACTGCTTGTTAATATACTATAACATTATCTACCATTATCTATAATTCCACCACTACTTTACATTTATTTGATACTTCAACGAGACACGAAAATGCTCATTCGTGGTTGCAGACTCGGATGAAAAATTTTATTAATTTTACATTTTTGTGAAGTGTTGATACCAGTCTTTTGTCGAATCTGTCCATTTTTCTGTTTTTTTTTTTATAATCTGGATGCCACGTATCATACAAATAAACGCATTCTCGAACTAGATCAATCAATCGTTTCATCGGCCATTTTCAGTGCACAATTTTAATGGACGCTCCCTTCTTTCACGTCGTCTTGTCTAGTTTCTATTTCAGCTCTTTTACCTATTGTTTTATTGTATACAGATTGTAAATATTGTCTTTATTTTAATAAAAAAAAAAAAAAAAAATTAAGTACAATATGTTGTCATCAATATTGCTTGTATATTTTATGTTCGATAGTTATATAATAATAATAATAATATTTTAAAAGTGCTGATACGTGTGGAAAATCCAGTGTATTGTCTATATTTAATACATATTATTTCTTTTTATTTTACAAAATTATTCCAGTCCGCCGCGAACTTTGTGAAAAAATACAACCATCAGTTTGCCGCGGTAGGCCGCTGTCTGTTTAACCAGAATGGTGCATTTTAATAGAGTACAGAGTCCGCGGCGGACCAGCGACCTGTCCGCGCGGACAGTCCGCTTTCTGTTTGACCGATCCTTTAACCATTAAATTTATATTTTATCAATAAATATTTTTTTTGTTTTCGATGCGAAACTGTAAAGCAGTTGGTTTTTAAGAAAATCACATTTATCATATTTATAAAAATGTTAAAATTATGTATATTTTTTTTTGTTTTTCAAACAACACTACTTGTTAATTATTTAATTTGATGTTATCAAACGGTTTTACGCCTTAAAAGTGTTAAATAAAATAATTACCGTCCGGGAGAAGTAAAAACTGACGAAAAAAAAAAATCTATATACATACGTAATACACAAATCGACTGCCCCAACGAAAAGGGTCGTATCTCGTTTTTTGCAACTTTTCAGGATGAACCAAACAAACATTCAAATTTAAATTCTTATTCTGTTTTTAACATATCAGTTCGAAAATTAATGAGACGCGAAAATACAGAAATTTAGACAAAACAACACATCATTATAAAACATATACCTTTTCAGCTGCTCATCTAAGCTAAAATAGTTTGTTTTATTGACAACTGCATCACATCATGCCCGTATTATACCATATTATAATATTATATAAATTCGAAATTTTTGTTCTGTTGTAGAATTTATAGATTTAAATATATTTGGGGATTTATTTAAAAACCATTGCGGCGTACTACAATTATCGATTAAAGAATGCGCCAAACTAAGAAGAGAAGCAACGTTAATTAAGAAGCAAAAAGAAATCGAAAATAGGCGTAGAGACGGAAGGGAGTAGTTTAATATTAATATGATAATAATATCTAATAGTATAATTAATTTTTAATATAATAATTTGCCGAATAATAATACAATTTTTTTAAATATGTTAAAAAATCACTTAAAAACGTTACTAAAAAAAATGTTTCAAAATACAATATGTCTTAACGACTTTTATGACTCAAAAATCGTTGTTTCTTTTAAATAAACACCGGTTACTTACATTTTGTGCAATGTCATTTTTATTTATAAGAAAATTAAAAAAATACCTACTTTATACAAATTATTTTGATAGGTAATTTAAAAAGAGACAATATGTGTAAGTAGTGTAGATTTGGTGTAGATTTGGTGTAGAACAAAACTGCGATAGTACTTAAAGTTTATTTAATAGTACTTTTTAACATTCAATTGTAAAAATTTAGAAGACTTGTGATCTCTTTCACCTTGTCACTCTTGTGGTCTGACCTCACTATGATAGCTTTAAAAAAAAAAAAAATTAATTTCTTATAAACCCTAATTTGATATTTAAGTTGACATATACTATATTGAATTAACTTTTAAGCTGAGGAGCATATTTTAGGGACAAAAAATAGTTTCACTTTAAAACAATAATAATATGCATAACGTGATAAAAACAAATGGTTGTATATCGACTTGTATGGAACAAAAAAATAAATTGTTTTTCAGTAAAATATTTTCTAATTTGAAACATTTGTACAAATAAGAACAATAACAGCGACAACACCAGTAGAAAACACAAAAACAATTTTTTTCAACAGCAAATGATTAAAGTCTTCAATTCAAACCTACTCGTCGCTAAAATACCTGTTTATAGTTCATATTGCGAATTGAGAAAAATGTACAAAAGAACCTGCCATGATACACGGGTTTGATAGTAAAAAAATAATTTAAGAAATTAAAAAAATTATAAGTAGCTTGATATTTTATAATGAGCCACATCACGCATATATAATTCTTATTTTCAACAAATTGACAAAAAATAAATAATCACGTTCACTACCGCTCTTGATGTGAAGCCAAAATGTAAGTTGTTTGAGGCTGATGTATAACATTTTTTAATATTTATTATTTCGGCTATAAGGGACGATACGATGGTTGGAATTATAACTTGCTAGAATTCGGAAAATAACATACTTTGCAAACGCCTTTTTACGATATTGACATTTATACATGTGTGTTTTCATACTGAAAACTGCAAAAATATTGACACTTTTCCTAGCATGGCATATAATATACCGTAGCTACAATACATAGTATAGTTTATCGTCGATAAGACATGGGTTACATTTAAAAAAAGACAACAAGTACAAACTACTGTGTAAAAATTGAATAATATATTTTGTTTTTGCACATAGTCAAACGATAAAGCCGTTGAAAAAAACATAGACATCTGTGCATTCAAATCCAATAATAATGGTATATCTGATTCTAGAGTATTGTCAACGAATGAAGTATTACTAGTATCTACTCTTCTACACTTATTCAATTTATCTCTTTCTTCGGGTATTTTGCCGGATAAATCGAAAATTACCTATATATCACCAATCTCCAAAAGAGGTGACAATACTCAAATAACTTATTACCGTCCTATCTCGATAATCTCAATCATCACAAAACTATTTGAAAGTGTTGTATCAAAAACACTTTATCCAATATTTAAAAACATAATTATTGATGAGCAACATGGTTTCACGACTGGTAGGTCGACTAGTACAAATCATTTAGTGTTCCAACGTTACGTACTAGATGCGTTTAAGGCAGGACACCAGGTTGATGCTATCTACACCGACTTTCCGAAAGCTTTCGACAAAATTGACCACAATATTCTTGCCTCTAAATTATATCACTTAGGTATACGCAATCCTTTTCATCCTTTCCTTTTTTTTTTCTGGTAGGAAACAATATGTTAAAATTAAAAACTTTAGTTCAAGTCAGTATGATGTAAGTTCGGGTGTCCCTCAAGGGTTTCATTTAGCACCATTACTGTTAAACATATTCATTAATGATATTAATTTTAATAATTCACGCATGTTACTTTTTGCGAATGACTTAAAACTATTTCGTATTATTAACACCCGAAATGATGCTAAGTTACTTCAAAATGACATAAACGTCCTCTATGTTTGGTGCAACCAGAACAGTGTACATTTAAATATTTCCAAGTGCAAAGTATTATCGTTCTCGAAAAAACGGACATCATATCTTTATAACTACTATTTAAATGATTCTGAACTCACTCGCATCTCTAAAAATATTGACCTAAGTATAATATTTGATGCACCTCTATCATTTAATGAACATTATTTATATATTCAAAATAAAGCCTCCTCTATGCTTGGTTTTATTAATCGAAACTGCAAAGGTTTTAATAATGCATATGCATTAAAAGCACTTTATTGTTCATATGTACGGTCAATACTTGATTACTGCTCTATAGTTTGGTTTCCTAGTAAAGTAGGTCCGATACAAACAATAGAATCGATACAAAATCGTTTTTTGAGATTATTATCTTTTAACCGTGACATTCAACGTCAATCTCACTCTTCTTATCAGCCACTATTGTCTCTTTTAAACTTGGAGTCGTTGGAGATACGAAGGAAAAGGTTAGATCTTGGTTTTATTTTTAAAATACTTGATGAGCAGGTTTATTGTCCAGAATTACTTTCAAGCTTAAGCTTTCTGGTTCCTAATCGGAGTACTAGACAACAAAATACTTTGTATGTACCATTTCAGTCTAGCAATTATGGTCGAAATTCTCCAATGATTAAAGGTATGGATTTAGTTAATAAATATCATATTGATTTATTTTCATGTTCAACTATTGATAACTTTAATTTATATTTAAACAATTTAATAAAATAATATATTTAACTAGTATGTAAGAAATATCCAAGAACCTATGATTATGTATTTGTATATATTTATATTGTAATTAACTTGATACTAATGTATACTTAGTAATATTTAACCTATTTAATAAGTGTGTAGTAACCACATAGATTTTATCTAGAAAATTGTACGCATCGATCATTGTATATTCTTTTTAATTGGGCATTTTTGCCCGTCCAAATAAATAACCTTCGATTTTCTAAGCTATAATAAATAAGCCCTCGCAGCTCACACCAAAAAAAAAAAACCAAATTCGAGCGAAATGATTTCGTAAGTCGATAACGATTTAAAAAGCAGTAACTTTAAAAGTCAAGTTATGTTTACATTATGTATTTGGCGTGGGATCGGTAAATGGTCAATTACCTTATAATGAGTAAAAAACACTAAAAAAACTGGTTTAACTAAAAATATTGACAATTATTAGTAGTTATTATTTGTATAAGTCGAATAGTATTATAATAGTGTTAAAAATGTTATCAACATATGAAATATATTTTATTAATGAACTATACAGGTTACAACTTACAAGTGTGGTCAAACACAAATAATGCTATGACATTAAATACTAATTTTTATTCCGATTTAAGAACTTTTTTTTTTACTACGATTTCCATTTTTGAGGGTTTCAAAAAATAAACAAACCTGTCTGTGATCCAGTTAAAAAATTACGGAATCTCAAGTTTCGAGTTACGTTTCATTGTCATGATGTATAAAATATTTTTTTTCAATAAGACATTTTTTTGTAACGCTGGTATAATAATATCATAATAATTATGTGCAGTATCCGCAATCAAGGGGGGGGATACTCGGGTTCAGACCCCCCCCCTCCTTGAGTGTTTCTAAAGTGGAATATTGGGTAAGGTAATTTTAGTTATTGTCTAATTATATTTTACAGTAAACAATATTTTTTTAATTTTGGCAATATAATAATTTTGGTTTGGCCTGCTTTGTGGCAGATAACAAATCGTTATCACATATTGTCATTTTCTTATATTACACATGGACCTTATACCTAAAAACCGTACTTTGGACACCCTTTCCCCCCCCCGGGATATTTCTGGTTGCGCTACTGATTATGTGTAATCCCGAATGTTTTACATTTTCATAGTCGATACAGAAAATATTAGATTTTGCAAAAAACCACGTGAACACAATTCATGAAAGATACACATTTAGATAAATAAGCACATAGTCATTTTCTGTACAATTTTAACGGGATCCTAGAAAAGTTCAATACATTTTGTCAGTAGGAATAAAAACATATTGACACAACTGTGTATGCAAATCCCACAAAAGTGTATTCGATTCGAGAGTATTAGCAACGTATAATATATTACTAGTATAACCTTCGATTTTCTAAGCTATTATAATAAGGGATCACACGAACACAAAAAAAACCAAATTCGAGCAAAATTATGAATAAGCAATGGTTATTTACTAAGATCTAAATGTTCCCCAACTTTTAAAATGGAAAAGTCTAACAACAGACTAATGTACTGTGTCTGTGACTGACTAACATCGGTCATACAAATGTATGAATGATATACTTCTACACAATTTAAGTACATATTAGAACTTAAAGATTCGTAGTCTTGATATTTGATGGCTGGAAGTTGGTTCGATATATTATATAATGATGTTTTGCAATACACAAATTCTAAACTATTTTCTTTGAAATAAAAAAAAAATTGCATACCTTTTCGATATGTTTGTAGGGTTTTTATTCAACATATATACTTACAGACTTGTACAAATATGCAAGTTAAATAATAGTGCCGTATCTAAAAAATTCAATAACATAACTCGTATAGTTTTAGTTTTATTTTTTTCAATTCAGTTTAAGACAGGCATCCAAAGGCGGTAAAATTCATTCGTTTTGTCCCAAAGTTTAACTTCAGTTTATACTTTATATAACAGTACAATGTTTTTTAATTTCTCATTGTTGTTACTCTTTTTTATCATAACGGCTAGCTGCAGGATTCCGTACCGACCTAGTACATCCGGTACAGGTGATCTTGAAGATGAGGTAATTCATACTATTATTTTTTTGACAATATTTCGCTGAGTCATTTATAATATAAAGGAAAAAACCAACCCAAATAGTCATTCTTATCTGAGAAACTATTATTATTTTAGCATAAAGGCTTACACATAAAATTATTTTCATAAATAGTTATAATCAAAAAAAGTTTTAGAGCTTAAAAAAAGTAATTTAGAATCGTAACTTAATGATTTGAGTTAAATTCATTAAAAACCGTGTGTTAGCCGAAAATATATAATTAGGTTTTAATACTTTGTAAATTATTAAATATTTATATTTGTATTACTTTTTGAATTATTAAAAAAATATTAGTGCTGTAAATCTGAGCGTAATAAATAATGTAATCTAAATAAAATAGTTACTGTCTTTTAATGTATACGTTATATGTTATGTAAGAATAATATTTACATAATTTGTAAATTTGATTACTAAAACATTAAGGCCTATAAAAATAATTCTTTATACCTGCTAAAGTATATTTGTGTTATATTATAGCAATCAATAAAGAAACTTTTAAATTAATTTTTTTTTAGTTTGAATAATATAACATTAAAGTTTGTAATAATGCATGACAAAAAAATAACCATTTTTAGGTTTAATTTGAAAATTATTTAAGTTTTACAATCCGATTATTTATGGAATTCAACTTTGTACTAATAATACATTTTCAGATTATAGAACATTCGTTCAAGGATTGTAGAAAATGGTTCTTCAAAGTCCCTAAATACCAGACTAGTGATTTAACATTGGGTCAATGTGTAAAGTACATGGGTAAAAACCCAGATGATTTGAAAATCGCGAATGATTACTTCAAAAAGCAAACAGCGAAAAAATATGGTAAACACAAAGTAGTATACTAAAAATTTATAAGATCTAAAAAAACGCTCAAAAAGGTAAAATAAAAAAAATAGTCCGCACATAAATGTAGACAAATTAAAACACATCTTGTAAAAAACAATATATTTGCAGCTAAAATAAAATTGTTTCATCGACAACTGAGGTGACCACTACACCACACCATGCCTTTATAATAACATACATATTTTATAAATGATAATAATTATTATTTATATTAAAATTCAAAATTTTTGTATATTTTTGTTCTAGAACCTTTAAATTTAGAAGGATTTGTTGACCTTTTTAAACACGTTTGCAAAGGAAAAAGGAAGCCCGTACAAGAATGCGCTGAAGAGTGGGAAACTGAAGAAGGGGTAAATATTAAATCCTATATAATAATAATAATTGTTTGTTTCAACGGGTAATGTATATCTGTGTTAAATTATAGCAATCAATAAAAAAACGTTTGAATTAATTTTTATTTTTACATTAAAGCTTGTACAAATGTGACGTATACTTAAAATTAAAATTATTAAAAAAACAAAAATTTTTTAGAATCCGAGTAATAAATATGTTTTTTTATTTTTAGTAAATTACATTTCCTCTAAACCAAAAAAAAAAGTAACGATGAAGAAATCAAAACTATACTTTTATTTATAGCAAACTGATAAAAAAAATTTTTTTTTTTATTACTTGTTAATTAGTCCGTAGGTTATACGTGTATTTAAGCCTATGCGGTTATCAATTTTATAATCAGATTTTTTTTTAAATTAAACTGTGTATTGCTTAACAATTTTCAGGTCATAGAAGATTCTTTCATTGATTGTAGACAATGGTTCTGCAGAGATTCACCTTTTGTAGTTAATGGAATTTCACACGACGCATTTAGCAGGTACATGATGTTGGCTGATGAAGATGATAAGTCCATAGATCATCAAGGTATCGTGAATGATTTCATACAGACCCACACATATCCAAATTCAACAGAATATTCAGGTAAACATTAACTACACATTAAGTTATATATCGTTAAATAATATTCTTTTGTTCTCGATGTGAAACTGGTAAAACAGTTGTTTTAAGGAAAATACTCTCAATTACATTTATAAAAATTAAAATATGATGTATATTTTGTTATTTTTTAAACAACACAACTTGTTAATTATTTGATATATTTGATAATAATAAACGGTGTATACGCCTTAAAATTGTAAATTAAAAGAATTACCGCCCAGAATAAGTAAAAAGTGACCATAAAAACATATCTACATAAGTAATTCACACATACTATTAAAATTAGCGAGACCCAAAAATACACAAATTTAGACAAAATATTAAAACACATACAAACTGAGCTAACGACTGCATCACATCATGCCCCTATAATACCATATTATTTAAATTCAAAATTATTGTTCTGTTTTAGACTTTATAAATTTAAAAATATTTGGGGATTTTTTTAAAAACCATTGCGGCGTACTACAAATATCGATTAAAGAATGTGCCAAACTAAGAAGGGAAGCAACGTTAATTAAGAAGCAAAAAGAAATCGAAAGTAGGCGTTTATACGAGGCATTTAAAGAAGACGAAAAACGGAAGTTGGAACTCCTAAAGAAATAGTTTAATATTAATATGTTAATAATGTCTAATAGTATATTTCATTTTTAATATAGTAATTTGCCGAATAATGGTACTATTTTTTTTAAAATGTTAAAAAATCACTTAAAAACGTTACTCAAAAAAAAATGTTTCAAAATACAATACGTCTTAACGACTTTTATAACTCCAAAACCGCTGTTTCTTTTCAAATAAACACCGATTACTTACATTTTGTGTAATATTATTTTTATTTCTAAGAAAATAGAAGAAAAAAAATCAGACTTAAGAACTAAAATTAAGACACAACTAAGATGAAGTAGGTAGTAGCTGATGTAACTTAAGTGTAGTATAAATCTATAACATGTAAAATTGGTTGAATGCTAACGGACAAATATTTTCAAGACAAAAATTACTACACTTCAAAACAATAATAATATACATAACGTGATAAAAACAAACGGTAGTATATCGACTTGTATCAAACAAAAAATAAATTGTTTTTCAGTGAAATATTTTCGTATTCGAAATATTTGTACAAATAAGAACAATAACAGCGACAACAACGGTAGAAAACACAAAAACAATTTCGGTTTTACAGCAAATGGTTAAAGTATTCGCGTCGATAAAATATCTGTTTCTTGATGTGAAGCTTTTATAGTGAGCCAAAATATGAAATATTTGCCGCTGATCTATAATATTTTTTAATAATTATTATTTCGGCTCTAAGGGACTGATGCGATGGTGGAATTATACTCGCTAGAATTCGGGAAACAACATGCTTTGCAAACGCCTTTTTACGATATTGACATTTACACATGTGTGTTTTCCTACTGAAAACTGCAAAAATATTGACACTTTTCCTAGCGTGGCCTTAAAAGGCCGCAACTATAGTACAAAGTATATAATATAGTTTATAAAACACATTTTAAAACGGTCAACGTCGTTTAGGTAAATTGTTCAATACATTATCGACTCACAATCAGTTTTAAAACTATTACTGAAACAAATTCGATGGTACTCGGGAAAAACTGGCCAAGTCTAAAATTTTCAAACACGAGTTTACATCATACCAAAGTCCAGTAAAATGATAAGATTTTTTTTTTGTAAAATTATCTATGTCATACAACGAATTTATCAGTTGTCACACCTTTATGAATTTTTGTTTTTACATTATATGCCATATGGTATACATTTTTTAATTTTCTATCTGGATTACTGAACATTTTAAATTTTAGACTTAGCCACAGTTTTTCCCGAGCACCATCGAATTGTACAACAAAATAGTAGTTACTCATAAATAAAAAAATAACACAAAGGTGTACACGATAAGATATATAGAACTAAGTACAATATAAAAGAATGTGATGTATATTAATATCAAAAACCATACAACGTCCTCGGTGTTAAACTATTAATCCAAATTTTCATTCTTGCATATTTAAAGGCATTTTTTTGTTTTTAACAGCAATGTTTTTCGGTATGCTGTCAGCAATTTCAGGTACACGAAAAAAAAACCAAGCAAGGTTCGAACCAAAAATGTAATACAGTAAAATAAACATATTTCCAATCAATGTTCTATATAAATTTCGACTCTATCCGACCGTTTTTAGCAAAAATATATCAAATCAAATTTGACGGTTAAAAACCTGGCAATTTTTTTTCGGTTTTCCCGGTTTCGAGGTAAAGGGAGTTAACTTTTTTATACTTTTAACCCACCAAGTACCATCTGCACACCGATTAATTCAGTCCAAAGAAAAAGACTTGTATGGTGTCGAGACACAAAAAATTTTAAAAATTAACATAATTATAAAACCAATAGCTTCTTGCTATCGTCTCGAAGCTAAAATAGATATATTATATTGTCAAAATCAACAAGAAAATATATAAATACAAATTAGTGTAAAAAAAAATACTGTCTTATTATATTTGTAAATAAAAACCAGTCGGTTATTCTGTCATTAGTTAAGAGTTATTTATCGCCAAATATAATTTGGTGAACAATGGCAATAAATTACAACAGTATAATTTTGTATTAATTGAACAACACAATTGTATATTTTTGAGACTAAGAGTCATTCGTTTTGCCACTCGTGTTAAATTTGTAATATCTTTAACTGTACACTTTTAAACACTACAAGTACATAACTGAACAATATAAAATTTTAAATGTTTTACAAAATTATAATATGATTAACGAGTATATCAATTGTCATCTGCGTTCCAACATCTATATATGAGAGAATGTGTAGCAAAGATAAAGTAATATGAAGTTAAAATTGTTTTAACACTATATTATTAAAACCATGACTAAATAGGCGGGCATTTATCGCTAGGTTTTGGACTTTTTTATCTCTTCGCCAATAGCACACTTCATGAAAAATGTTATAATGAAGAATTTGCACGATAGTACCAACTTATTTTCCCAAGTCTGGAGAAGAAATATTTAGCGATCATGCATGTTTATTTAATTGTTGGTCTAATTACTGTGATTTGTATAGTACCTATTTACAAAAGTCTGAGGGCAGCCAAGTAAAAGATAACTTTACCGGGGAAAATTTACCAAACACTAAATTAGATTTGTCCCTTTTTAGCTTTAAAAGATGTAATATTATAATATGGGGACAATGTAAATATTATAGTTTTTACTAATTAATATACACAAGTATGTCACTTAATGTACGAAATTTAATTTTCATTATCAACGTTTTATGTGATAAAAATGTATTTCTTTTAGGCCATAGTCGACGCTTTTAATACAGCTCTTGTATTTTTTAAAAAAACTGACGACAACACAATTACTATTAAACAATTTTTAAGAATTATTGGTGACGACGACGACACTCAGCTAATTATTATAGACCACTTACAAAAATTCGACGAAAAGAATCTTGCGGGTAAGCTTTACATATTTTAATCTAATCAACATTTCAATAGAAGGCCGTATAAGTGTGAGTTTTTTTTGTAACTTTTTAAAGGTTATTGTCGCTTGTCAATGTTTAAGAGTCCCAACTTATTTAAGGCATTTATTTTTTATAATCGTTATTTTAGATGATTTTTTCTTTTTATTAATTCTTTTCTTTATTATAAAATTATGTTTCGTTGTAAGTCGTAATCATAATTAGCTCATGTAACATTCAATGGGCTTAGCCCGTAAATCAAAATTAAATTTAATTAAAAAAAGGTATTTGTGCACGAACCAAAATAGATTTAATACTTTCCTTTGAAATATTATTTTAACATGGATATGTTATTGGGCTGGCTACAAGCAATTTCATGTTACAAAATCACACCAAAAAAACTTTTAGATTAAGAGATTAGAGATAAGATAAAGTGATAGGAGATAACATATCCATGACTCAATGGTTTTCCGTTAAGTGGAGAAAATAACTGTCTTTTTAATTAAAAGCCGGCGGTTTTCATAAGAATCAATATTTAAACACCAATTACTTAAGCTATCTCCATTAGCATAGCTAAAATACGGCTAGAATTCAAGTAGTACAATAGTTTTGTGTTGGGTTAAATGCTAATGTCGCGTTAAAAATAAATTTTGAATTCCACTTCCGCCTAATATATCCTGAGAATCACAAATTCTTTTTTACAGATCAATTTTTAGAAGAAAAAAAATTAAGAAAATCTTTTTGGTGTGAGTCTGCAGATGGTACAATTATTATAAAATATCGATCAAATCCATTATAATGACAAAAATTGTATTTTTTGTAAAAAGTGGATACGGTTGAAGTATCCGACCATGAACTATAGTTCACGGTGTTGTGAAGTAATATCATACATAAGAATTGGCGCAAAAAATTGTTATTAAAAGTTATATAGATCATTAAGGAAGTAAATATTGTTAATGTGTGTAGACTGTAGCCTAATGACTGTAGCCTAAGTTGAGTGGGTAGTATTTTTGTATAATTTTATCCCGTATTTTAAATAATATGTCAAAATGATACAAGACATTTTGAGTATTCATTTAATAAAATACTTTTTGTTTGTTTTTTCAGACGAACTAAACGATTACATATTTTTCGATTTAGTATATGCAGTTGCTCACGGTCGTGGAGTTTCTCTTGATTCTTTAACTACAATTATGATTAAAGAAATGGAAAAACCGGTAGAAAAAAACAAATGCATGTAGAATCTTCAAAATGTGAAGAAACTTCAGATGCAGCTGAATCATCTTCTAGTAACCAGCCATCTAAATAACTATTGTAACACATTGATTAATTAAATATATCTAATAATACTTGTAACGTAGTAAAAGTGACATGACACCGTGTGTATTTTTCGTTTGGAATTACCCTGCTTACCTTACTTCAAACTTGTACTTAGATATCTACTGTGCCCGTTTATGCTTACTAGGCTAATTAGATATTGTTGATCTATTTACTGTTTTGGTTTAAATTGTGCTAGGTTTCACTGATCTAAGTGACTACTCTTTTCTCATCTAGTTTATTTTTACTGTACAATTTTAATTAAACTAAATATTTCGCTATCACCGTTTTATAAACACCGTTTCATAACATTTACTTGGTATGTATAAGCAATGGTAATTATCATTGATATTGTGGGGATGCTGGCAAAAGTTTGGCCTTGAATCCAAAAAAGCAATTGAAAATAATATCTCCTAATTTTTTTCATGATCTCGCTATACTTAGGTTTTTAGGAGGATATATTTAAAATGTTGGATAAACTTTAAATATCATATCAAATTATATGATTTTGGGGTTAATTTATAATTGAGCCAACTTCCATATTTTTTTTTAAGTCATAACAAACCGGTGGAGTAAAATATATAACTCTAATACGATAAGGCAATATTTCAAAATAATCAATTTATATCAGTACAAGGTATATACTGAATAGGTATACCTTATCTTATAAGTACACTTTTTGGAAATAGACTATAAATGGGGCGTTAAGCACAATAGTGGTCTAACGAACAAATTATAACACAAATTTAAAATTGATAATTTAATATAATTTAATTAAAATTGAATTTTTTATTTTGTCAAAATAAT